ACTTTGAGGAGAGATGTGTCGAGAGCAATATCAGCATTTTGGTGGTTCTTGGGGTCACCGAAGAGGGCACAGGGGACGCCTGAGAGGAGAGGGGAAGGATGAGAAACACAGGAGCAAAGGCTGAGGGAACCCAGCACCTGGAGGAGAAGCGACAGGAAGCCCAGGAAGGCGTTTCAGAAGCACGGGATGGTCCCTGAGGGGCTGGGACCACGTAAGATTGGTCCTAGGAGCTGGGAGCAGCTTCCCATGGGGACAGTGAGGCAGAAAGGGCAGCAGTTGTTTGTGGAATAAATAAAAGACAAAGATATTAGGGAAACCAGCACAGGCTTGGAGACACACTGTGTGCTTTGGTCAATGGCAGACGGCGCGCGCCCCGGGCTGTGCCACCTCGCTTCCTGCACTACAATCTGTCACCTTCGCACACTGACAAAATTGCCGAATGACACGTTTCTCAGAACTACCCTGCTAGCTAAATGCATGACAATAATGAAAGGAAAGGAAAAATGGGAGAGGACGTCTTAATTTTTTTTTTTTTTTTGAGGTTGAAAAACCGTATCAGTGAGCAACCGCGGCATAGCAATACCCTCAAAACTCAGTAACTTTAATAAAGCCAGTTATTTTCCCCCTCACAAGTCTGTGGGTTGGCTGGGGGCAGGCTGGCTAAGGGGCGGTTGCTTGCTTCTGGTGATGGCACAAATGCAAAAGAGTAAGTGGGAACACACGAGGCTTCCTGAGGTGTAACATCCAAGCCGGCACGATGGTATTTACACTTCACCCTACTGACCCCTCTGTCGAGGACAGGGAGCTATACCACACATGCTGAGGGGAGGAAACTGCACTGTGGAAATTACAAAAAAAGCCTTATGGGAAAGTAGAGAATACCAGGAGGAGTGAAAATCGGGGACACGGATGCCTTCTACCATGGGGGACAAGCAGCACTGAAATGAAAAGGAAGAAGACACCAGAGAGGGGGAGACTGGACAAAGTTTAGTGAATACTATGAAAACTGTGACAAGCGCGGGATTTGGAGATCTAGATTATGTTTGGGCTTTGTCAGTTACTGGGGGGGCAATCCACTCTCCTAAGGCTCCATTTCATTAGCTGTGAAAGCAGAAATACACATCCCTACACCTTGGTGTGACAATTAAATGAAGTAATATAAAAATTGCTTTACCATGAAATGCAAACTTATGTACAGACAAGATAAGTTTCCAGGAGAGGTGGGAGGCGGTCACGGGATGGTGGGAACACAATAGCTACTTTCCAGTACTGAAGGGCATTCATGTGGAAGGGAATGAGACACAAAGAAGCCTGTGTTACAGGCGGAAGACTAGTGATGGAGACAGGGAATGAAGGGGGAGTGTGTTACGCCATAAAAATATCAATTCAATAAGTAGAGTTTAAATCTGGCTTTAGGTGGTGATTTCTTCATGGGTGGGGATGTGAGAACAGAGCCCAGGTGATAACAATCTCTAGAGGACAGCTGGAGCGGAGGGGCAGCTGCCGAGGGTGGTTGGATTGACCAGTGGTTCTCAATCCAGAGCAGTTTCCTACCCCACCCCAAGGGGCATTTGGTTGTGCAAATTTCTGGGTGATTCAACTGGTGTTTGGTGGGTGTGGGCCAGGCCATGAAATCTCTGGCAATGCTCAAGACAGTCCTAAACAATGGAAAATGCCATCAGTGTCCCTGTTGATAAACATGGATGAGATGATTTCAGAGAATCCAAATAAACACATGTTCACATGTTCCATTTTTAGCAACTGTAACTCAGCAAGACCCCCCTTTTCTGCCACAATGGCTCACTGCCTGGGCTGAAAAAGCACTTGACTAGAGAAAAGTCTACCATATGGCTAAATAAGAACAGTCACAACAGCAAGACATTATAATCCATTTCAATAGTAAAATTCTACTCAAAGTTTTATCAAAGAATAATAAACACACATGATTGCATCACAAGCTATGAAAAGATTGTCAGGTACACACATTGTTGACTTACTTTCACTACCATGTAAAGTTAATAAATACCCTGCTTGGAGACATCACAGTGATGATAAAACTAGCAGCTAGCAAAAATAACAACACACATTTAACGAAAAATTATGTTGCCTGCCACTTTTAATTTTAAGATTTATTTATTTGCGCATACGAGAACTGGGGTGTAAGACAGAGGTGCATGGGGGTGACAGTGGGGAGTATAACAGGCAGATCTACTGAAGTATACTGCTGAGGAGAGCAGCAGGTGAGACAGGAGAGGTCTGCTGCACCATGTGAGTCACCTCACTGGCCAGGGATCAAACTTGTGCCGAAGTGCCTGGCAATAGCTTGATAGCACTGTCCTTTTTTTTTTTTTTTTTTTGTGGGACCCTCGCTGGTGGCCAGGGATTGAACTGGCGCTGCAGAGGCTGCAGGCAGCCTCGCAACCAGAGCTCGGCTGCGCCACCAGGGGAGGCCCAATAGCACGGTCTTTAACCCTTGTGCCACTAGGGAGTCCCTGCCTGTCACTTATTGATAGAACACAAAAAGGCTGTTGGGAAATGTCTTTTTCTTTTAAAACAAACAAACAAACAAACAAAAATCTGGCAAGTCAGTTTTAAGTATTCCTTCCATTTTTTTCCATCAGCATTAACTTTTTTTGATTTGGGGGAACTAAGAGGGAAGTTTCTAGTAATAGGCTCATATAAAGAAACAAGAAAGATCTCAAATAATTAACCTAGCCCTAAAGAAGGCATGCAGATGGCAAACAGGCATATAAAAAAATGTTCATCATCACTTATGAGGAAAATGCAAACCAAAACTACAATAAGATACCACCTCACACCCATGAGGATATGAGAGTAGAATAAAGACTTTTGTAAATACAGTAACAAGATTGCTCTTCAGCAATAGTGTTGTCTGATAGTCATCCTGCCACCAAATACCCTTAATATTTATTTATTTATGCATATAAGAACTGGGGTGTAAGCCAGAGGTGCATGGAGGTGAGAGGATTCACCAGAGACAGGAATCATCAGAAAGATACTGTGTCTCAGGAATCTTCAGGTACATCCCACCAAATTGAGAGGATAGACAAGGTCCCAGGGAATCAGGGGTCCCCAGGAGAGTGTGAAGGGAGAGTAAAGGAGTCCCAGCAGACACCTGGTTGGTGTGTGGTCAGTCCTAGTGGTCAGAAAGTTCTGGCAGTGATTTCTTCAATAAGAACATTTTAAGGATCTCTAATGTGCCAGAAGGTTACACAATAGGAGAAAGAGTTTGGCTATAGATAAGGTAATAAAATAGAAAAACAAAAATACTAAGACAAAATTTAAATTCAGGAAAATAAATTCAGCAAGGAAAGAAAAGTAATCATAGTATGTAATGTGCCAAGCTGGGAAGAGCATTTACATAGTAATAATAACAAATAGTGACTCTTTTTTTTAGCATTTCTTTTTTTTTTTTTTTAAGATTTATTTATTTATACATGCACTGGGTACAGTCAGAAGCGCGGGAGGGTGAGAGAATTCACCAGAGCCAGAGCGGGGAGCAGAGCAGGCAGAAGGACCGAAGTACACTGCTGAGGGGAGCAGCAGGCGGCAGGAGAGGTCTGCGCGCCATGTGGGACCCTCCTCCAGTGGCCTGGGAGCAGCCGGGGATCGAACTGGCGCCGCAGAGGCCGTGGGCAGCTTCGCAACCCAGCGCTCAACCGCTGCGCCACCGGGGAGGCCCTACAAATAGTGACTCTTGACGCAACTAAAATCCAAGTACACCAACATGGGGAGGATTAAAAGATGGACGTGTGTACAGAGAAGGGGAAGTGAAAGAAAGCGCTCCCATAACCCAACTCAGAAGACAATGTCTAAAACTGAAAACAATTGAGGGGCAATGTAGAGACAACATTTGGAGATTTGAAGATAAAAAATAAAAAGATTCAGCTAAAATAGTTGATCCTGGTTGCCCCGGGAGAGGGGTAATATATGAGGCAGGGGAGACAACTGTTTCAAAGTAAGGTTTATAGATTATGCAATCATTTTAAATACGTTGGTATAATTTTATTAAAAAAAAAGACTAAATTCACAATAATGGAAATCTTTGAATTTATTACTGTAACATACAGGTTAAAGTCATCCAAAGTGTCAACATGTAGAGAAAAATTGTACTTACTTTAAAAACAACTGAAAATGGGGGCAGGAGAAACTCCTGATACTGCTTGATTAGGGTCCTTACAACATTCTGAACTAGTATTCAAGAAATCCTTTTACCTTCCAGACACTTGTTTCCCTGTTTGTAAAAGAAATATATTAAACAGATGCCTTTTAAGTTTCCTTGAAATTTACATACTTCTATTTACAAACAGCTCATTGAACTCGGTAAATACATTTTAATGGATCAACTATTAAATTACTAACACGTGGATGTTTCATTTTAAATGGACCTGATTTCAAATGGTCCTGATTAATAGGGCTTGTTTTCCTTAGGTACAGAACAGCCAATAAAACAGCCTGAATGACAGAAAAAATTTGCACAATATTAAATAGACCCACTGGATTTTTAATGGTCAATACTATATTAAAAATATCAATAACTTTAAGATACATGTCAACTGTGGATACAAAAAATGGAAGGCCTACCTGATCAACCAATAAGATAAAATGCAGTTATGCTGAACAGCTGCCCTAGTCTCACATAACAACCACAGAGTGTATGTCAATTAAGGCCATGTGGCAGATATTTCACTTTTCTATACTTGTGGCAAATATCATAGGTTCAATTCTCTGCTCCAGAGAGAAGCAAACCAGCTTGGTTCTACATGACTCCAGCTGTGACCAAACCCCCTTACCACAAACGAACTTTTGACTGACTTACGTATCACCCAGGTGAGTGTAGAACTCTGTAGCTTTTCCACTGCACTTTGCGAACAGGAAAAATGGATATTGAGGGTGTTTATAAAATGATCTGGTTGGCTCACATATATAATTAATCTGACAAACAAACCAAAGCCAAGCAAAAACTGTAAGTTACAACTCCCCACCCCACCCACTCTGGCCCCCTACATTCAAATTGGAGGAGATTGCAAAACTGCTTTTTACTCTTCCACCCTAAATCTAATTTCTTTAAGACATTTGAAGATGATACAGTGGAATCCCATCCTCTTGATGGCTGGTATGTGACCATAAAAAATGCCTTAGGTGTCACAGTCACACTAAATGGAAAGGCCTCAGGTCTCACATGGGGTTGGCAGCTATAGCAAAATACACGCTTTGACTCACTTAATTGTGTTGGTGACTTTCAGCTAGGGGTAACTTTGCCCCCTAAGGAACGTTTTTTTTGGTTTCATACTGGGCAGGGAGTTGCTACTGGCATCTAGTGGAAGAAGACTGGGGATGCAGTTTAAGATTCTACAATGCACAGAACAATGTCCCACAGCAGAGACTCATCTGAAGCAAAATGTCTGCACTGTCCAAGTTTGAGAAACCCTCATGTCTGTTGATTTTTTGTGTGTTCTAAAAAAAAAGGACAAAACTCAAGTCAAGACAGTACAAGTACTCCAGAATGTCATTCAAAGGTCTACTAGTATATCATTCAGATAGAATTTTGAATTACTCATAGCTTTAACTTGTGCTAGGAGGTAAAGGTACACACTCCACAATATAAAGATGGGTTTCACTCTGCTATTGAACAAATTTATTAAACTTCTCAAAATTAGACTTATGAAATTTGACAATAAAAATTCAATTCCCTCTATTTAAGAAAGTCTCCAAAGCCAATTACGTTGTTTCCATTTTAAGCTGAAAACCTAGCACACAATTTGGCACGTAGGGCCTCTGGAGTTGAATCAATGGTTCTACACATTTAAATGTTGGCCAACGATAACAGCTACCTGGGTTCCAGGGGCAGTAAGTTATAAAGGTGACTGAGTCATAATTTAGGTGGCGCTTAGGGGGCTGAGGCAGTCCACCATCATTCAAGTTAGGCCCTGGCGCGACACGTGGCAGAAGACCAAAATGTAAGCTACAAAGAAGTTAGAATAACTGTAAAGAGTTGGGCTCAATAAACTGGCCCACTCACCAGAACTAGGTCACCTGGGCTAGAAAGGCTGGTTTTCTTTTTCTGTGAGGAAAAAACATCACATTCTTATTCCAAGGAGAATAAAGATATTTACAGACAAAAGGTAATAAAGTAAACAAAATGGACTGCTTATAAAGTCTGTCTTGGCAGCAGGTGCAGCCATAGTACTCTTGGTAATGGTCGTTTGAGGGTCTTTGGTTGGACTTAACACTGCGGCCCTGCAGTGAGCACGGACATTCTGGCAGGAATTCAGATGTGCCCTTGAAAACAAAGGTAGAAAGGATACAAAAGAAGGCTCTAATTTAGAACTCAAAAGAAAATTGAGTAACCTATGAATAAAACTCCAAGTGCTAACATGTATCAATTCTATATATTAGATAGATGAGTATTTGCTGTAACGATCACTTTATACTATTTTTATGTCTGAAATATGCTATAATTTAAAATGACAGCAAAAAAAATTACACATGAAATAAAGGTACTAAATGAATGCTTAATCCTAAATAGCAAGAGCGGCAAACTCAGCCAAAGCCAAGCGGCCACTATTGGCGATACTAAAACATTAAATAATTGCCAATTGCTCTCAAGTGGGTCAACTTTTTTTTTTTTGGAGACAGACCCAGTGGGTCAATCTCGAGGGCCAGGGCAGACATGGCACTGACTTTCTATTGGTGCACTTCAGGTATATGACTTTGATCTCATTGGGGTGGAATGTAGGGGGCATGGTGGAGGCAGCCAGTGTTGGACAAACTCAAATTTAAGACAAATGAAGAAAAGTTGCACCTTGGCCTCCTGTGAGCCAAAAGCCAATAAAAAAATTCTTTTTTTCAAATTATGAATTTACTATTATCCTCCTAATCTTGAAATTAAGGGAGACATTGAATTTAACTCAAAATTCTGATTTTTCAGGCTAAGGGATGAAGTCTCTTGACTTTTGAATTTCAAGATCTTAGTCAATATTGCTAGTCCAGGGCTCTCACTTCAGCAGTTCTTATGTGGGTCCCCAATCATGTCTCTTTGCTACTTTACAGTGTGACCATCTATCTCCAATACCCTCTCTCAGAAGTTCATCTTATCACCACTGTTTGCCTGCAAACTCCTGGATCCTCCAGCCCTCCACTTCTACAAGGTCATGTGATGCCATGGAAAGGAAGGAGACAGAAGTAGAGGCGAACCTGATTACTTCTGTTCAGCCTAAGGACTCATTCCTCAGAATGTCTGCCCCAGGCTTGTGGGCCTTGGGTCACTGTAACTCCCTCCCTCACTTAGGAAAATATAAAACTTGTACTTTCAGTTTTGGACTTATTTTACAAAAGTCTCTCAGTTCCTAAAAATGAAGAGCAATTTGAAATGTAACTGAACTGACTATAATGTCTACTTTCAAGACTTTCACACTGCAGATGTTTTTAAAAGCCCTTCCATTAAAAGCCAGGAGACACTTTGTGTTAATTACATGGAGGGGAGAAATGGGTGACATTTGTGAATGGATATTAAACAGACTAGTTTCAATATTTCAGACTACAAATTTCTTCTCTGTTAACATCATAATGAAATTTGAGGTTCATTGTGAGCGATTTCAAGAGTCAGTGACATTAAAAGGTAATACTATTCAGAATAACATTCTTTTTCTATTGCTATGCATATCAGTGATAAAACATCCAAGTTCAACAAATCAATACAATTTCTACATATCAAAAGAATTACGAAAAATTAATGACCCTTTTTAGCAACATAGTTTTATAATGAAGACCATGTTCCACCAACTTCATTTTTATGATTCATTCTTAAGTAATCTAAATTCTGATTATTAGAAAGCTTTGGGTATAAAAGTGAACCTTTGGTGAGCCATATACTGATTCTTAAAAATGGCTAAGTCATCACTTATTTCCCTGGAGCATTTGTCACCTTCATAATCCAAAGGGATTAATATTTCTTTTTTTTTTTTTAAGATTTTTTCTATTATTTATACAAGCACTGGGGTACAGGCCAGAGGCGTGGGAGGGAATTCACCAGAGACAGAGTAGGGAGCAGAACAGGCAGAAGGACCGAAATACACTGTTGAGGGGAGCAGCGGGCACGACAGGAGAGGTCTGACACGCCATGTGGGAATCTCCCTGGCCGGCAGGGAATGGAACCAGCGCTGCAGAGGCTGCGGACAGCCTCACAGCACTGTGCTCAACCTGCTGTGCCACCGGAGGCCCAGGATTAATATTTCTGCTGAGAAGTGACCTCACTGAACCAGTTCCTTTTCAAATTGGTTAATATAAAGCTAAGACAAGAAGAAATCAATACATATTAGCAATCAAACTGGTCTCATTAAATATTGCCACCTCATTTAGTGTAACAAAAGAACACAGTACTATATTCTGGAAAACACAAAAAAATCTAAAATAAAAATATTCTCATTAACATCATTCATACGCTAGTAATAAATTAGCTTCCTTAAAATATTTTTTAAATTGTTCACAAAATCCATCCTTATTTTCTAAGTTAACAAAGATGAATTTTAAAAGTGCAATAAAAATTCTTCAGGTCTTCACTGCAGTTCAGACAGGACTTCTTAGTGGTTTCCAAGACACAGCTTCTTGTCTTGGTGCTGTTCTTCAGCTGGAGGTCTGGATCTCAACACACCATCTAGCATTCAAGAATAACAGTATCAGGAAAAGCTTATTTCAAATAACATCTGTTAGCCATACAGGTTGTAAGATCAAAATAATGCATAAATTTTAAAAAGGGAGATTCATTTTTTTTTTTATTTTTTTTTTTTAGAGGCATGTTTATTTATTTATTTATTTGTTTGTTTGTTTGTTTGTTTGTTTTGTTTATACATGCACTGGGTACAGTCAGAAGCGCGGAGGGCGAGAGAACTCACCAGAGCCAGAGCGGGGAGCAGAGCAGGCAGAAGGACCGAAATACACTGCTGAGGGGAGCAGCGGGCAGCAGGAGAGGTCTGCGCGCCATGTGGGACCCTCCTCTGGTGGCCAGGGAGCAGCCGGGGATCGAACCGGCGCCGCAGAGGCCGCGGGCAGCTTCGCAACCCAGCGCTCAACCACTGCGCCACCGGGGAGGCCCTCATTTTACATAAAAATTCTCAACTGTTAAAAACTCATTCTAGATAATTCACTCAGTAAGAAACCTTTAAAAACTGCATTCACTTAACAGTCTAAGACCAATAATTCATAAAATATTTTTTCTTGGAAAAAGTTATTATTAGATTGAAAAAAAATAAAATGCACCTACTTATCCTCCAAACAGAGGTGGGAACTGTCTATGGGGCAGGAAGACATGAGGGAGCGAGTCACCACTCCTGCATGCCTCCCCTACAAGGGAAATAGACATCTCATTGGTAGGTAGGAAAAATCTTTCTCATGTCTTTTTTTGGTAATATTTACAACATTAAAAGAATATATGTTATACAGATAGGAGTTCAAGAGTCTAGTAACAAACGAATATATGTAAGAACCTACCACCAAGCCCCCAAACTAGAAAGTTGCCACTTCCCATGTGCTCCCCAGTCTGATCCCACCCTCTTTCAATCCCATTCAGAGGTAACCACTATCATGAATCTTGTAATTTATTATTTCATTGCTTCTTAAAAATAATTTTACCACATATACTAAACAATACATGATTTGGCTATTTTTTCAAACTTTATGTAGAAATTGTATCATAATATATTTAGACTTCTTTTTTTTAAAGATTTATTTATTTATTTTTAAGATTCATTTATTTATTTATACATGCACTGGGTACAGTCAGAAGCGCGGGAGGGTGAGAGAATTCACCAGAGCCAGAGCGGGGAGCAGAGCAGGCAGAAAGACCGAAGTACACTGCTGAGGGGAGCAGCGGGTGGCAGGAGAGGTCTGCGTGCCATGTGGGACCCTTGCCCAGCGGCTGGGGATCAAACCAGCGCTGCAGAGGCTGCGGGCAGCTTCACAGCCCAGTGCTCAACTGCTGCGCCACTGGGGAGGCCCCATAGACTTCTTGACTTTTTATTCAATATTATATTTCTAAGATCCATCCATGATTTACATAGATATAGCTCATTTATTTCCACTGCTATATAATATTCTATTGTATGAATATACACAATATTTTTGTCTAATCTCTAGAGAGAAACATTTGTATAATTCCTAGTTTTTGCTTTTAAGAACAATGTTGCAAATAATTCTTTGTCCCTTGGTCTTTTATACTCAAGCAAGAGTTTTTCTAGGGCCTATACATATTATTCATATTGCTGAGTCATGAAGTACATGCATGTCAACTTTACAAAAATAATGTTAAATTGTTTTCAAAGGTGATTGTATAAACATTCAGTCCAATCAGCAACACAAAAAAATTCCTACTGATCCACAACCACTAGCATTTGGTACTGGCAATCTTTAATTTTGCCACTGTAATGGATGTAAGACATCACTTCAATATTTGCATTCCCCTAACTGCTGATGAGTTTGAGCATTTTTTTCATGTATTTATTAGATACTGTGTTTCATTTGTTTTGAAATACCTATAACTCTCTTTTACTCATTCTCCATTAAAAATTCTCTAAGACTTCTTTGTATGATCTGGAAACCAGTTTATTATCATGTATGGAAATATATTTTTCCAATGGGAGGCTGGTCTTTTCGTTTTATAATACCTCTTGGAGAAGAAAGACCTTAATGACAATGTTTTCTAATTTCCCCACCTTTTCATTTAATGGTCTTTGCATACCATGGAAGGCATCCTTTCTATTCTAGGTCATAAAGATATCCAATATTTTCTTCTAAAACTTAAAATTACTGGAATTCTGGTCTCTGTTTCTGCATGGAAGTAGCTCAGAAGTTGTCATACAGTCTTAGCAAATAAAAAATGGACAGACTCAAATATCAACAACTCATCTTAGAACTCCAAGAGAGGGAAGGACACAGAGCAAACCCCTGAGATTGGAAAGACAGGAAAATATTGGGAGTCTCAGCTAAATGGAGCACTCATGAGCAGAAACTGCCCTGAGAACCAGAGCAAGGATAGGGAGATCAGAACTGTACTTGGAGAATTGCTGGAGGCTCAGTGTGGATTTAGTCATGGAGGGGAGCCTCCACAATATTGTAAGATCTACTTCAAGGAGCTTCATCAGGTTGTCAAAGGAATTACAGGAGAAAAATTCCGTCGTGCTTCTAGTAGGGAGAGGGGAAAAGACACCATTTTGAAATATGCCAAAGTTCTCTGTTCTTAGCAGGGGGACTCTAGTTAACCAGAACCTATTCTACTGGGGTATTATCAGAGCCTAACTGAGTTGGAGGAAGGGAAACACCGAAATTCAGTCCACTCTAGTCATCCTGATCCAATTAAGAGGGGAGGAAAAAAAAAAAGAGAAATACTTATGAAATTCACAGCCCAAAGGCACAGGTTTACTGAGACTAAGACCTCATCACAGGGATCACAGAGGTTTCCCATCCCTCATTACTAAGGTCTAGTTGCAACATGTCTTCCTTCTCTTAAGTGAGCTAGGAACAATAATCCCTGGATACAGGCCTTTTGTTGATTACTGTAGATAAATACCTTCTATTCCCTGACTTGCCTTTGTACTCTTTTATTTATTTTTATTGAGCTAACACTGTTTACGACAACATACATGATTCAGAGGTATAGGGTCACACCTCTTCGGATGTGTGTTACTTACTATATCACACAGTGGTATCTTTCAATAAACAAATGTTCATAATTTTATTTTTTTTAATTTTTAAAAAAGATTTATTTTTATTCATTTATGCAGACAAGAACTGGGGTGTAGGCCAGAGGTGCAGAGGGTGAGAGAATTCACAAGAGACAGAGCTGGGAGCAGAACAGGTGGATCCACCAAAATACACTGCTGAGGGGTGTGTCAGGTGAAAAAGGCAAGGTCTCCTGTGCCACGTGTATCAGCTCCCTGGCCTGGGGATGGAACTTGTGCTGCAGTGGTTGACAACAGTTTGACAGCGCTGAGACTTAACCCTTGCGCCACCAGGGAGGTCCCAATGTTTGTAATTTTAACATAGGTAAATTAATTGATCTTTAGTAGCTAGTGCTATTGGTATCCTTTCCTTAGCCACAGGGAAGTATTTACTAATACCCTCAAAAACTGCTATTGACTATACATTATTTAATCAGATCCATATATATTTTTCTTTTACTTCTTTCCTGATAGTTTTTTAAAAGAAAGATGGGGTGGATATGTACTTTTTCCAGATAGCAAATAAAAGATTTGCCATTTGAATAAAATAAGGCTAAATTAGAACACAAAACCAAGATATTTGCATAGAAATTAGTTTTATTAAAGGCTTTTATAGGTCCGGATTTTTCAATTGTTATTATTAAGGAAATTTTACTTATGCTAAACTTCCATTTATGTAGGGTCCAAACAGAAAAATAATATGCCAAATATTTTAAAATAATACTATAAAACAATAAATAACATTCACAATTACATGCCTAAAGAATGACAAGATCTTCCAAAGATTATATTGCATTAAAATATCTATTAATATGCAAATAACAGAACTTTGAAGATTAGGAATTCATTTATGGTAGCTGTGATGACTCTTTATTATTCAAAAAAGCAGAACATTTACATTCTCTGACCAATCTAAGCAAATGTGACTTTACTCTAATAAGAATGATTATAAACTCATTTGACCCTATAAGCATCTAAATTATACATTTTTTTTTCTAACTGCCCAAGAATATTTTGTTTTGGTTTAGAAGAGTAAGAGTATTGTCACTTATTGTTTCATATTAATTTAACTGACAAATTTAATTTGTACATGGTTATTTGTATTAGATATATTCTATAGGACTATTTATTAACCAGCACTTTCTATCATGCCTTGTTTGTGAAACATTGAATGTCAAAAATCTAAGCTGTGAAAAGAATGTGGTACATTTAAGACCACAACAATTTCTAACACCTGATCGTTAAAATTTACTGGCTGGTGTCCTATGGAAATGTGATGGTTAGGGCTAGCACCGAAAAGAAGAGGACCTCTAAGTCCACAACAATTTTTAACACCTGATCATTAAAATTTACTATGTAGTCTCTTAACAACAAAGCTAACCATAAGGAAGGACTTGTAAATACTTACTCTCTTTGCTTTCAGTCTTGTTTTGTTCAAGAGCACAAGGTCCTAATGGATTCAGCTGCCACTGTAAAAGGGCACAGTTTATTTATATGTTTAAGAAGGATTTAACAAAAAAGCATTTTAGCATCCTGCTTTTAAATGTCAAAACTGCTTTTTTAAAATAAAGATTTATTTTTATTTATTTATACAAGCACTGGGTACAGTCAGAAGCGCGGGAGGGTGAGAGAATTCACCAGAGCCAGAGCGGGGAACAGAACAGGCAGACTGGAAATACACTGCTGAGGGGAGCAGCGGGCGCGGCAGGAGAGGTCTGCGCGCCATGTGGGACCCTCGCCTGGCGGCTGGGGATTGAACCGGCACTGCAGAGGCTGCGGGCAGCTTCGCAACCCAGCGCTAAACCACTGCGCCACCGGGGAGACCCTCAAAACTGCTTTTAAGAAAAAAATAGTGAGCATGATCACATTAACCAAGCTTTACTAATGACCCCGAAGGGTAAGACTTCTGGGATCAAAATCAATATCCTTAGAGAAGGAAGAAACTTTAATTTTAAAGGTACTTTACTTTTATTTTACAGATAAGTGGAAGGCTAGAGAAGTGTAGTGACTTGTCCAACGTTACACACTAAGGGCAGTGATAGAATTAGACACTGAGTACGCTCATGACTGATACGGTAGAATGTCCATACCATATGCTGTCTCCAGGTCCCACAGAATCTCATAATGAAATATACAACCAAGATTATCTTGCCTTTGGATACAGTTATACCATACAATAAATACTCTTATTTACATCGTATCACAGTAAATATCATCTGACTATAGTTTTCCATCTCAACCATTCAGAAATAGGGAAGTCTGAAAATTCTTGATTATTACAGAGAAGACCAAAGCAGCAGATACGAAAAACCAAGTATAATCAGTATCTCATAACATAGCCCTTCCTTTCTTACTTGGCTAAAAATCCCCATCATCAGAATAACTAGTGACTTAGCCAAAAGACCTCCCTAAGGCATTTTCTCCAGAAAGATAAAATTAAGGGAACAGTACCTGGAAGCCTGTTCCATAAGTGTTAGTTCATCAGATAAACTAGTTATTATCATGGGCCTTGAGGGGTGATGAGATACAAGATGAACTATATGTAAAAAAGTCTTTGGAAAGGAAGGACATCTAGTATGGGCCAGTGTACTATGGAAATGTGATTTTAGGGCTAGTACCGAAAAGAAGAGGACCTCTAAGTATGGGAAGTTATTGATGAGATTTTAAAATGGCATGTTTCTAACACTAAATTCAATCAAACACTAAATTCAATCAAATCAAACCACTAAATTCTATTAATTTGGGCAAAGTAAAAACCCAAAACCCTGAATTTACATTTAAGGATATCCATAAAAAGACTATTTAACTGTAAAAACTCAGAAACAATCTAGGTCTCTAATAACAGGGGAATGGTTAAGTTATGTCTATAGGTTGGAATATTATATAATTATTGAAAATTATTTTTGAAGAATTTTCAGACAAAATACAGTAACATGTTAACAGTGTTATCCATGAGTTGTGGGATGGTATCTATTCTTTATGTTGCTAGTTCTCTGCAATAAACATGTATTACTTTTTTTTTTTTAAGATTTATTTATTTATTTATTTATTTATACAAGCACTGGGTACAGTTAGAAGTGCGGGAGGGTCAGAGAATTCACCAGAGCCAGAGTGGGGAAAAGAGCAGGCAGACTGATGAAGTACACTGCTGAGGGGAGCAGCAGATGGCAGGAGAGGTCTGCATGCCATGTGGGACCCTCGCCCGGCAGCCGGGGATCGAACTGGAGCTGCAGAGGCTGCGGGCAGCTTCGCAACCCAGTGCTCAACTGCTGCACCACCGGGGATGCCCAAACATATATTACTTTTATACTAAAAAAAAAACCCAATATGACCTAAAAGAAAAAAAAATGAGTTTTTGAGGAAATAAACATGGGCTTACACTGGTTAAATCTTTTCTTGTTTGCCCAACAAAATTAATTTCCATTTGTTTTAATCTTAATAACAAATATAAAATTTATTGATATTAGTATTTACTGATACATATTATATTACATAGTATTTATTGATACTACTTTTGATAGCATAAAGTAGGTATAATCATTATTGAAATTCAAACCTAGAAGAAATACTAGAATTTATTTTAGTTCCCAGTATGTTTGAAACTTAAGTGTTTAGCTAACTACATAGTTTAAATCATTTATTTCAAACCACAGGAGATGAGGAAAAGGAGTGAGAAGGCATCTTCATCTGAAGGAGAACAGTGTATCTCCTGGGTAGCGACCTGGCCCAACAGGTGCTTCTGTATCCTCTCTCTGCCCGAGGGGCCTTTACTCCCTTGTCTTGCCAGTCTCTTTTTGCTTCTCTTGCCCTGTCTTACATTCTTGATCTCCTCACTCTCTTTATGATTGAAAAACTATAAAGTCCACTGGTAAGAAAGATATTTCAGAATTTATGTAACTCATCATTCACAGTCTTGAAGAGCTCGGTCACTTAATCTTTATGAAGAGAATTTAAAAATCTGTTTCTTCCCACTCTTCAGGAGGAATGAAGAGACAGAAAACTGGAGATTTCTCTTCGACTAATTGCATGGGAAGCTTTGGTTTAGTTTTACAAGAGAGGCCTTTTTTCCTATGTCAACTTCTTTTGATGCCACCTTTTTCTTTTAAAATTGTAGTAGTGGGCCTCCCTGGTGGCGCAAGGGGTTAAGACGCAACCTATGAGGCTATCCACACCCACTGCAGCACGAGTTCAATCCCCAGCCAGGGAGCTATCCACATGGTGCAGCAGACCTCTCCTGTCTCACCCACTACTCCCCTCAGCAGTGTATTTCAGCTGATCTGCCTGTTCAATTCCCCACTCTGCCTCTGGTGAATCCTCTCACTCCCACACCTCTGGCCTGTACCCCAGTTCTTGTATGCATAAATAATCTTTAAAAAAATAAAATTGTGGTAGTTTAAATAATACAATTGAAAATAGAAAAACAAAAAAAATGCATGACAAAATGTATTTTGTTAGTTATCTGCATCTGTTAGTTATCTTATGTATTCCAGGAACCCTGGAATCAAACAGGAATGTCAAGGTGAAACTTATAAAGTGTTCCATTATATGCCTTTTGTACTCACTGTAAATTCTAGTGTTTTTCTGCCAGGATTATTATTACAAAGCAATATGATTCCAGACAGGATCCTTTTATTACATAGTGAGCCCTGATTAGAATCTATGGATTAATAGTATTAATGTATCAATGATTTCCTGAGTTTTGTGACTGTATTATGTGATGTAGGGAAATAGACTGAAGAAATATACAAGATTCCAGAGTTATATGAAGTCAACAATGTACTCTCAAATGTTTCTGGAAAAAAATTCTTTGTAGTGTTTTTTAGAACTTTTCTGTATAATTGAGATTGTTTCTAAAAATTTTTCTCCTAAAAACCTAAATGATAAAAAGTTAAAGAGTAAAATTTTTCATTTTCCTTGCACTTTATTTTAAAAATATCAAATATTAAATCCCTTCTAATTTTTCCCTGACTCTTCTTATGAGAAATGTGTGGCAAATGTGCACACAAGGTCATCTGTGTATATGTAAGTATGTGTATTACCTTGTTTTGGGTCATCTTATACTATTTTCACCTCCATTTACCAATCTAAGCCAGAAGGAAGGGTCTGGGAGAAGGTGGGTCTGAGATTTTCTTTTGTTAGCCACCAGATGGCACTAAAGAGTCCACTAATGCAAGATCTGTAAGCTCAATATTCAACGCTCCATAGACATGTAAATTCCTTTTTTAAAAAAATTTTTTCTCCCATGTAGAAGAACTGGGGTGTAGGCCAGAAGTTCGGGGGTTGGGGGAGAGAATTCACCAGAGACAGAGAGGGGAGCAGAACAGGTGCTTTTACTGAAATACACTGCTAAGGGTGCTTGCAGTGGGCAAGACAGGAGAGGTCTGCTGTGCCATATGGGTTAGCTCCCTGCGCAGGAGATAGAACTCAGGCTGTAGGGGTGATAGTGCTGAGACTTTATCCCCTAGGCCACCAGGGAGGCTCTAAGATGTAAATTCTTTTTAAAAAAAAAAAAAAGATTTACTTGTTTATGCATACAAGAGCTGGGGTGCAAGCCAGAGGTGCTTGTGTGTGTGTGTGTGTGTGTGTGTGTGTGTGTGTGTGTGTGTGTGAGAGAGAGAGAGAGAGAAGGATTCACCAGAGACAGAGTGGGGAGCAGAACAGGTAGATCTACTGAAATACACTGCTGAGGAGAGCAGCAGGCGAGACAGCACAGGTATGTTGTGCCATGTGGGTCATGCCCGTGGCTGGCTGGGGGATCAAACTGGTGCTGCTACGGCTGCAGATAGCTTCATAGTGCTGACACTTAACCCCTTGCTCCACCAGGGAGGCCCCCAAAGATGTTAATTCTTAAGTTAGAGGTCCTAAACTGAACATTTGTAATTAAGCAAGTGTCTGCACATAACAATAAACTCAACGAAAATAGTTTGTTGAAATTCTTTAAAAAGGACAGGAATCATAAATTTAAAATATGCATCAGGGTACCTAACAACAAAATATAAAGTATCCTGGAAGAAAATGTGTATCTACTTACAGTAAATTTGTTAACACCCTCAAGTTCCCCAAATCTCATGTAAGAAATGTCTGCCTTCTTTTTTCCAACATCTACATCTCCTGCGTAGATTTGTTTTATGCCTGCACCTTTAATTAAAGGTACACATTCATCACATGGGCATTTTGTCACAAAAATCATACTTCTTTCTTCTGGTTTAATTTCTTGACACCTACAAAAAAGTATACAAAATATTAGAAAAGTAGTTTACAAAAGAGTAAGTTATATATTAGAAAAATATTTAAACATTAAAATTGATTTTTTAATTTTAAAAACAGGCAACATTAAAAACAACAATAATCACTTATTATTGCTGAATTAGTGCCTGCTCAAAATATAAAAATTCATAAATTGTTAAAATAATATCCAAGGGCCTCCCTGGTGGCGCAGCGGGTTGAGCATAGTGCTGTGAAGCTATCCACAGCCTCTGCAGCGCCAGTTCGATTCCTAGCTGGCCAGGAAGATTTCCACATGGCACAGCAAACCTCTCCTGTCTTGCCCGCTGCTCCCCTCAGCAGTGTATTTCTGTCCTTCTGCCTGTTCTGCTCCCACTTCCCGCTCTGTCTGTCTCACCCTCCTGCATCTCTGGCCTGTACCCCAGCTCTTGTATAAAAATAAATAAATCTTTATTAAAAAATCCAAATTAAATAATTATTTTAAATAAATCCATTTATTCTAAGCAATTTGGCAAGATTCGTGTGAGTAAAAACAGTGAGAGAGAGAAACAGAACACGATGTTTTCTAAGTAAGAACCTCTGTGTAATATCAGAATCAGGGGCTAGAACTAATACCCTCCATCAAAGTTTACCATCTAGACAGTAACTGGTCATAGTAGTTAATAGATATACCCTTTATCTTCTAGTACCTGATGGATATTTAATAAATGCTTACCAAATTGAAAAATTAATATTAAAAGTTGATTGTGAGTTATAGTTTTTTTACCACTTTACCCAGGACAGAACAACATGACTTAATATATGTTTGAATTTGACAGAACCATATCTACATACAAAATGAAATAAGTAAATCTGTAATGAACAGCACAAGGAAAATAATAAAGTTGTTTTCTAAGGATAGCTTAGGACTAAGAAAGGCTCTCATCTGAGCCTCCAAGGGTGGTACTTCCTAGTTCTGTGGTTTATGCTGCTCTTTAAGTCACCACCTGTCTATATTCATCTCCCTAGTTCATGCTCTCAATCTATTCACCATTACTAGGGCAACAGAACTGTATGCATCTAGTCTATTCAAATTATACCTGCAATCCAAGTAATCGGTAGCGTGGCTCTGTCAATGCCATTCTATTACCCCACTGCCTAACAGAGGGAATCTAAATCCAAAGGCCTCCCTTGTCCAGTCCCAACCTATTCCCATGTGCTCTCTGTTTCAACATATCTGGAACATTCATTTTTTTTTTTTTGTGGGACCCTCGCTGGCAGCCGGGGAATGAACCGGCCTGCAGAGGCTGCAGGCAGCCTCGTAGCCCAGCGCTCAACCGCTGTGCCAGCTGGGGAGGCCCGGGAACATTCATTTTTTAAAAAGATTTATTTTATTTATTTATTCATACAAGAGCTGGGGGTGCAGGCCAGAGATGTGGGGGAGGGGTGAGAGGATTCACCAGAGACAGAGTGGGGAGCAGAACAGGCAGATCTACTGAAACACACTGATGAGGGGAACAGTGCGTGAGTCAGGAGAGGTCTGCTGCGCCATGTGGGTCACCTCCCTGGCCAGGGATCAAACTCATGCTGCAGTGGCTGCGGATAGCTTTACAGTGCTGATGCTTAACCCCTTGCACCACCTGGGAGGCCCCCCTCATTACATCTTAAAGAAAATACATGCAAATGAATTTCATACCTAAATGTCAAGGCATTCTGTTCCGCATGTACAATGTATCTGAATTTCCTTATTTCTCTGTCTTTCTGTTTGTCATCCATGTGTGGGAAGTCAGCGTATTCAGATCCAACAGGAAAAGCATTATAACCGCATCCTATGAAGTACATGGCACCTGTTCCATCACAATTTCGCTAAAAAATTGAGCAAACCAACAAGTTTAGTTTTCAACATTTTAAAAAGGTACTCTACGATATATATATATAATTTTATTTTTTTTAACTTTTTATTTATTATTTGTTTTTATTTTATTTATTTATACAAGCACTGGGTACAGTCAGAAGCGCGGGAGAATGACAGAATTCACCAGAGCCAGAGCGGGGAGCAGGGCAGGCAGAAGGACCAAAGTACACTGCTGAGGGGAGCAGCAGGAGGCAGGAGAGGTCTGCGTGCCATGCGGGACCCTCCGCTGGTGGCCAGGGAGCATCCGGGGATGGAACCAGCGCAGCAGAGGCTGCGGGCAGCTTCGCAACCCAGCGCTCAACCGCTGCGCCACCGGAGAGGCCCTATATATATTTTAAAGATTTATTTTTATTTATACAAGAGCCGGGGTACAGGCCAGATGCGCGGGAGGGTGAGAGGATTCACCAGAGACAGAGCAGGGAACAGAACAGGCAGACTGATGAAATACACTGCTGAGGGGAGCAGCGGGCGAGACAGGAGAGGTCTGCTTGCCATGTGGGTTGCTCCGAAGCTGGCGGGGATCGAACCGGCACTGGAAAGGCTGCAGACAGCTTCACAGCACTGCGCTCAACCGCCCGCGCCACCAGGGAGGCCCCTCTACAATATATTTTTAAAGCCTGGTATCATACTTTCTATAATGAATTCAGTTTTCTGTGACATACTGAGCCATCCAAAAAAAATACAATATTAGATCATCCTACTGAAGTGTGGTCTTGTCAAGCTAAATTTCAAGGCCAGTCATCCTAATATATAACCTCATGGCAGCCGTTGGTTTAAGTACTTAATTAAACACTAGCTTGTTTAATTCACAGATTGTTTCACTTGATTCAGTCATGTCAACCTTTTCTCAAAGAGAGTTGTAAGATGCTGGAGAACAACAGTCACACTCTATGCCTCTTTTCTATCCTGTAAAGTACACCTGTTAGTGTTCGATACATAACAGGTACTCAACAAATTATTAATTTCTAATATTCTCTTTGTATGTTACTTGTTAGCAAGATAGAAATTTAAAAAGTATTTTACATAGAATATTTCTGTTGTATTAAAAAATGTGCTTTTGTGATACAGTTGCAAAATTAAAAATGCACTTTCTTTTAACCTTCAATATTATTTGGGCCTCTAAGTCTATACTACAGAACTTTGTACATAAGTGGCTTGTTTTTTTATATTTCCTGGTGAATGAAATATTAGGAATATTTACTCTAAATAAATATTTACTCTAAATAAATGTCAAACATCCTGCTGAGTTTTATATGTATTATTTCATTTACTCAATCTTCACAACCTAGAATGTAGTACTATTATTATTTGTTTTATTGGTAAGGGAACTGAGGTAGAGAAACACTAACTTTTTCAAGGATACAAAGCTAGTAAATAACAGCTAGAATTCAATCCCAGGTTGTCTGACTCCAAACTCATGTCTGTTGACTTACTCATGTTCCATATAATTCATCTGGAGACTTAAATTCTCTACAAAGTAGTTGAGAACCAGATGTGAAGGCAAAAGGCCGCTGAGCATTCATATAAACATACAGGAGAGTACTAACTACAGGCTAGGCACTGCTTTAAGTGCTGGGAATACAGGTATAAATCAGACGGAGAATCCCTGTCCTCAAGAAACTTCTTATCTAGAGATAATAAGACCAGACACATAATTTTTAGTATGATGAGTGTCACAAATGAATTGTACAGACCGGTATGGGAATTTTTTGGCAGAGGAACCCATTCTAGCACATATAATGGAATCAGGAGACATCTTGGAGGTGGAATCCATAGCATCTGGTTATTAATTCTGTGGAGCAACAGGGAATGGGCTTGTGACCACTTATGGAGGAATAGGTAAGCAAACAAGATTCTAGATATATCAGGCAGGATGAACTTAAAGGGCTTATTAAGCATGCAGGCAAATAGTCAAACTGCTTGCTGTTTCTACTGAAGCAAAACTTAGGCTCCTTACCCATCTTTTAGTCAGCTACTTAGTTATCAAGTATCTCTTGATTCCATGCCTTCTTAACTCATCTCCATGATTCCATGTTTTCACCATCTCTTATTAATCTATTTCCTGTCTACCCTCACTTCATTCCTTTCATAATGTAATCTGATGAAATCATTTCCCCATTTAAAATATGTCTAGGTTGCACTGTTCGATACAGCAGCCAAAAATGCTTAGTTTGAATTGTGAGGTGCTGAGAGCATAAAACACACACATGTTTTTGAAGACAATATTCCTCCAACATGCAGAACATTTTGTCAATAATTTTAACATGTGGGCCTCCCCCGGTGGCGCAGCAGTTGAGCACTAGGCTGCGAAGCTGCCAGCAGCCTCTGCAGCGCCGGTTCAATACCCGGCCACCGGCAAGGGTCCCACATGGTGCACAGACCTCTCCTGTTGCGTCCGCTGCTCCCCTCAGCAGTGTATTTCGTCAGTCTGCCTGCTCTGTTCCCTACTCTGTCTCTGGTGAGTTCGCTCACCCTCCCATGCTTCTAACTGTACCCAGTGCTTGTATAAATAAATAAATAAATAAATCTTTAAAAAAAATTTTTTTAACATGTTGGAACAATATTATTTCTGGACACCTAGTTAAATATAACATATTCTTAAAATTAATTCACCTGTTTCTTTTTATTTTAATGTGGCTCCCAGAAAATTTTGAATTCTGTATATAACTTGCCTTTTATTTCTGTTGGGTAGGGCTATGCACAGTAGCCCCCCATTTAAAGGATAAGTACAAACTCTCAACATGCTTTACAAACTTCCTCATGGCCCATTCCAATTTTTTGCCACTCTACTCTGCACAGGTCTCTGGACACCCACATGACAAATCACTTGCATTTTACCACATTTTTTCTCACACCCCCTACCATTCCCTGTTATCCTCCTAGTCTAATGAACTTGTGCTGCCTGATGAACTATTTATTCTGATTGGGACTGGGGAGGGATAGGAAATCGGGTTGGACACTATGAGTGGGACAGTGAGAAAGAGAATGACTAAGGTCAGGAGACAGCTGCAGCGAGATAGGTAAGTGGGGCCGAGGGAGATAATGGCACCAAGGGAAATGGTGTTGTGGACATCCAGAGTGCAGCGACAGATCAATGCCAGAAACAGAAAGAAACAAAATGTGAAACTGCCCTGCCTAAAAAGAGAAAACAAAACAATAAAAACTCCAACAGATAAAAGCAGCCTCCTGAATCCCACCGATGGCAACTCAAATTTTGAGCCCCCTCTTGGCAACAGGAGCTTTGCTTTGCTGCTTTTGCTTCAAATAGAGTTTGCTTTGCCTTGCCTCAAATAAACTTTTGCTGTGCATACTCTACTGTCTTCTGCTGTCAATGTGGCCACTGGATCCTTGCACCTTCTGCTGTCTGAGGAGGCCAAGAACTCGAAGGTGAAGTGCCAATTTGTGGGTCTGCTACTCCTAGGCAGCCTATTCAGCCACCATTTTGTCACCTAAACAAGGTCAAAGTGGCCCTGCCAGTTAGGAACAGGAGCCCAAACCCTTAAGCCCTTCAGATCAAACAAGAGCACAAAGCTGGATCACACTGGGAAGGTTATGCATCACAAGGTATGTCCAGAACGCCTGGGGGGCTGAGGACTGATGCATAACATGTGCATCAGGAGGTATGTCCAGAATGCTCAGGGGGCTGAGGACCAATGCATAACATATACTCCCGACTTATACATCGAGACGTATGACTGGGAATGCCCGGGGGGCTGAGGACCGATGTATGACAAGGGACCCCAGAAGCTGATCAGTGGAGAGCCTTGTTGATAAGATTAGAACCATGGCTGGGGATTAGGGTGTAGCATCAAGTATATTAGAAGTGCCTGGAGGGCAGACTCACAATCCCTAATCTTCTACATCCTTCCCCTTTCTTTAATCTCCCTAATCTCCTGACAACCAATTATGTGTGTCAATAAAAGGGCCAGGATCTTGCTCTTCAGCAGCATCCTGCATTTGTAGCCTGCTCCACGACTCCCATTTGTCAGTGTGGTGTTGTCTGACGCAACACCAATTGTTTGTTTCAGTAGGAAATCTGTACACACACGTTGTTTATGGCCTGTCTGCTCTGAGTTAATTTTCCAGGCCAAGGACACGTCTGGAAGAGTGTGGGGAGCCAGTGCCATCTGAAGACAAGCCTCAGCATAATGGGACACGTTTGAGGCCAGGTGTCCAGGAGGGAGATGAGGTCCGGGGGCTGGATATCACAGGCTCCTGGCAGCAGTCAAGGCCTGCTTACTGCTAAACTGTCTTTGTCCAACTCACTATAAATGGCCAGCTGGAAATGAAATTTTAAGGCTGTTTCTTTAGGGTGTTAACCCCCTCCCCCACCCCACCTCCCCTGCCTTCCAGATTGTTGGCTATCTGATTAAAGCCACCTTAAAGATTCAATTCCTGTCTCTACTTTATTAGCACTTGGTGGTGACAGGTGGCCCGAACTTTGTTCTTCCAGTTACAGCTCTTCAAGACTAGTAGTATCTTACCTCCTCTAAGAATATTTTACTTTTTCTCCAAATAGAGTGAAGGTTCCTATCCTTTATGCTCTCGTGGTATCATGTTATAATCACACTTAAGTACCAGTCTCTCTTTCACTTCGGTGGCTCCATCAGTAGGAACATAGAAGGCCATAAAGGGCAGAATATGTAGTCTTTAATTCCCCACTGCTCACTGGTACTGTGCCTACACCCTGTAGAAAGTGTTTAGTAAATGTTTGCTAAATGAATGATATTATCCAGAAAACTGTTGAGTAAGCAAATGTTCACTACATTTAATAAATGCACCAATATAAAAGATCAATTCCAATGGGTCAGTTAGATGTAATGCACTTAAGATTCAACTGTGTTTAAATGAAATCAAGGTCAAATGTTTAATAAATTATTTTAAAACTTACAGATTTTCCTTCTGCCCAAATGACTGCTCCAACTCCTGTTTTATGATCCTCTGAAAGAGAAAGGTCATTTAACTTAGTAAAAATCAATGACTTGTTAATCTCAGAAACACATTGCCCTCAAAATAACAAAAACATATTTATTGAAACAAACTCATAAATGTAGCAATAGCCACCGACATCTTCACTAATTATAGAAAAGTATTAAATATTTGCAAGCATGGGATATGGGAACTAGCAACTAAACAGTGTTACTACCAGCCCAGTCACACATGATCTATATGGAGAAATTAAATGGCACTATCCATAGTCAGGGCACTTCAAAGCCACAACTAGAACTAAGTGTAACTTAGTTGATTCTCTATTAACAAGTCAGTTTCTGAATGACCATTTCTAACAGGTTATGAAATTGACTAAAAAATAAGTTTCTTAATTAACAGATGCAATGTGATACTATTCACAACAATCAAATGTGGTTTATTTTAGACTCTTATAGAAAATACACTTATAGAAATGTTCTTGCTAAGAAAAATGTTCAAACACAACACAAACATAAAAAATCTTTAGGGGCTTACACATAATGCTGGAAAGGGCATGAATGGAATTTTGATTCAAACAAAACTTCCTTTCCCTGACCATCACACTTTACTGAGAGGGGAAAAAGAATGCCACATTAGTGACAGGATGCTCATTTCTAAATCAAGTGACAGAAATTAAAACATGAGATTATGCTTCCCCACAGCACCTCTGCAACAAGTAGAGCTGTACTTCTTAAAATATTAATCTGAAAAGGAAAGCTTAAAACCCAAATAGAGATTCTGCATATTTAAGGGTTGACTTTTTCCTTCTACTAATGGAAGAGTAAGTTTGAAATTTATAAAGCAATTATACAGTAATTACAACTTAGTATTTATAAAATCTTAACAAGGGACTAATGTAGTTTTCCATGTAGTTTTACACAGAGAAAGCAATAATCATCTGTGAACTTAACTTTAGGGAATTTTCATGTTGGTGAGAATTAAATAAAACTGTGACTTCCTTGCAGTTTCCTAAAAGTTAGCCCTTCCAATGATAACATTTTTAATACTTACTTTTCCCTTTTTTAATGTTTACATATAACACTATAACATAAAAAGGATATAAAAATTTTTCTAGTAAAAGTACAAAGAAATTATTCTATGTATGCATTAAAAGCCAGGATGCTCAATAAATAAGTTACTCTTAAAAAAATTATACTATAATGAAATTCCCCATCTTCAGTCCAAGCAAGCTCATGCTTTTAAAATTATATTACAAAGCACGTATATAACTTATTTTAAACACTTTTACCCATTATCTCATTTTCACCCTAAAGGTAAACAGGCACATTTCCCTTTCTAGATGAGAAAGCAGACAAAGAAATCACTAAAATTTGGCTTTGCAGACCCACCCTACTTGTGTTTCCTCTACCGGTTCCCTTGACACTAAAAATTTCCTAACAGAGTTCCCTTTGTTGAATGTCCAAGTACATAGTGGTGGGGGAAATAGAAGTCACCATATTCATGAAACTTACGCACGAGGACAGAAACAGGAAAAGATGTTAGTAGCTCTGCTCTGCTAGGAAGGAAACAAACATAGTGCTGCAGAGGAGGCAACCACTTTTGCAGGGAAATTGTCATGAAAGGGATTTTGGTGTAAACAAATTTTTCTCCTCTCAAGACCTTCAGACTATATGTAACACAAGGAGAAAAGAATTATGGCTTTTTGCTCATTTCTAAGGCAAGAGGCAAAAGTTACAAATACAAGGTTACATTTGCCTGCAAAACAGAATCTTTTGCTGTAGATACAATGGTTCTTAACATATGCATAAGTCTGAAATAAAAAAATGAGAAACTAAAATAGAAATTCTTCACAGTAAGAGCCTACTTTTCCTACCTTTAACTTTTTTTTGTTTTTGTTTTTGTTTTTTTAGTCTCAGGAGCCACTCTTACTGTTTTCAGTCTGGGGACAGACTGAAACTTGTCAGGAGGGGAAACGTGATTTTCCACAACATGCAGTTCTACTTCCTAGATAAGTTTAGTTGCAACAAGAAACTATTCTTTACCATGTGTCAGAATACAAGTTCATCTATTTTAGTTAGAGGAGATTTAACTCAGTTCCAAGTTTGGATGACAGATGTTGGATGGTAATGTCTTAAAAATCTCTTCATGTTTGTAATTTTTAAAGAAATTGCTCCTCATAACCAGGTGATTGACAAGGTTCTTCTCTGTCTACCTTTGAAGGAAAGTCAACTCTCAATCATCTACTCAATATCCAACACTCTTTGATTACTGAAAGCCAGATAGGTCTTTATCCAGTGGTTCTAGAATTCAGGCATGACTATTTTAGCTCCTAAATGTGTAGTCAGGCCAGGATTTGTCCAAGAGTGGTCTATGAACCATTTGCACCACCATCACTGGATACTCATTAAAAACAGGCTCATGGCTGGGCAGGCAGGGTTCAGGAATTTGAATTTCTCTTGAGTATCCGCTCTGATTGGCAGGCATGCTAAAAGTTGAGAACCATGGAGTTATGATTTGAAAGTTAACTTTCTTGGCTACTTTAACTTTCCATTATCAAAAATTGTGGTTTGGGAGAAGGGCATAATCCTCAACTTTGTAAAATAACTAGTCTAATGGAAAAACAGTGAAGGAAGATATGACCTCTTTTGTCCTGAACTATAAACAAATTTTATCACTTTTTTTGCTACCCTAAAGTATCCTAGAAACATACTTTTAATGATACCTTTGTGGATCATATTTATTTTCAAAAAGCAATTAAGTCACTTATTTTCAATTCCCTTTAGAATTTTGCTTTAAAGATTTTGAAATTCATTTTAATCATATGTACATTTTTACATGGAATGGTTTAATGGTTTCTTCACCTAAAAATTATGGTGAAAAAAGTCATCAAAGTAAACTGAATAGTGTAAAATTAAATATCCAAGTTATTAGAGGCACATTCTCTCAGGAGTGTGATTGGTCTCAGTGTTAAACTATTTCTCTCTCATTCTTTCTCTCCTAGTTCTGTGCCTGCTCAATAAATCATTGCTATTTTATCATCAATAAAGAACACATTGAAAAGTCCTTACCTAAATCCCTTGTATCAAGTTTTGTTTTTTTTTTTTTGAATATCTGATGCACTTATTTTGTGGCTATGCCTGACCAAATATTTAGGGCAAGTATTTATACATTTCACTCCATATGTAAACATATGTTTACATGTGTTGACTTCAGGGTGCCCCAGAACTCCCAGGGAGTGTAGTGTAATATATGTGAATTAGATTATTTCCGAAGGCTGAAAAATTCTGAATTCTTTTTCATTTGGCTCCAAAGGTTTTGGATAAAGGACTCTGGACCAGTTATCTTTGGATATAAAAACATTGTCTTTATCCATTCAACACACTATCCTTAGTGCTAAGGAAGAGATGATGATGAAGACATTGTCTCTTCCCTGAAAGAGCTCACAGTAGAGTGGAGTTCATGACAGAGTTGTGTCCTACTGAGGATGTGGGTTCCAGGCAAAAGTCACACATGGTCAAAAAATTAACCTTGAAAAATCTTTTAAGTGGGCAGAAGCACAGCTCTGTGTACAAAACTCCACACAGAAATAGTGGGTAAATTTATAATTAGAATATCTATAAAGATATACGTGCAAATTTGTATCTATGCATTACTACAGCTTTAGTCTTTGGAATCATACATCGCATGATGAGGCATCTGCTCCAGCAGATTCACATGTCATAGCTTAATGCTTACTTTGGAATCTGGTGAATTCTATTTTGCCAAGGGGAATAGAGCTCTAACAGCTGTTCCCATTTCTGTTTCTGTCCTTCCAGAATGATTTCGAAAAAATTCTTTTTAAAGTTGGCTTTAGAAAAAGTCCTACAGCACACAATACAAAGTAATTACATTAAACAGAACTTTTACAGTATGGTTTGCAGTCATAAAAATTGCATTTGTAGAATCAAGTTCTTTTCTAAGAATTGATGATTTTTAAGCTTGAACATGAGAATCCCTTGCACAACTTAAAAAATTATTATGTTATACCTAGGCCACACTTTAGGGATGTCAGCAGGTCTGGATTGGAATTTGACCATTTGTACTTTCAATAAAAGTTTTGGTGGTTATTCTGCTTCAATGGTGATGTTGCCAGTTGAGTACCTTCGTTTTACTGAAATTACTTCAACCTGTAGTCTTTGTATAGAATAAACTGTAGACCAGCAGCATTTGTATGGGCCTTCTGTGAGGATTTTCTTACTTCCCCCTCTTTCTTAGGAGTTTTTAAAATCCTATTACAGTCCACTCAAATCTTACTCCATTGTGTTCCTACCTGCATTTTCCTCTTGCCCTCTTAAAGTTTCTTTTAAACAAATGATGATTCTACTTTGAAAACCTTGTCTCATAAGATGTAAAAACACTGTTCTATAAGTGGAAATACTGATGTTATCTCTTATCACAATAAAGAAAATTTTTGGAGTATTTTCCTTTTTCACATACATACTCACGAACAATTTAATACTCATGAACAACATAAAGTAAAAATGTTTGATTTCTTGACTTACTGATTGAAGACATACCAGCAATGGAAAGAATTTACCAATATTCCTTTACTTTGATTCCATCAGTTATTTTGAATTCATACTTTTATTATAAAGATTTTTATTAAATACTGAATACATACAAAATATTTAATAATGAACAAAAATAAATGATACTGGTTCTCCCTTCTCTTTTTGTCCCGTTTTCTAGGGGAGACTTCAATGAATCAAGAGACAGAGAATGGCCTAGCTAATCAGTAATCAGACCCTGGTTTACAAATGTAGCAGTGAATACATGGTCACTAGAAATCCCAAAACTGCTAATAGAGCTTTTTACCCAATGGTTCCACTAATACATAGATACTAAAGCAAATCTTTAGTATCTAAGAAAAAGTGAACTCTATCATAGATGAGGTGAACACCACTTTACGCCTAAGACAAATACAACCCAACCAATCAGCCCCACTTTATGAACTAAGCATGTAACTCACCAGTTCGATATGCCAATAACCTGGCCTGAACCATGCAGTGCCTTGCAATTTCTTGTGGCAAACTTTGATTGTGAATTTCATTAATCTGTTCGGTATTGCCACAGTAAAATCCGTAGTGTTTATAGTTGGGCACACTGGAAGCTACTGTGGCCAAAAGTAGGATAAGCTCTTTCATGCTTTGCCTTAGATTGCTAAAGTATGGATTTTCACACAGGTTCTCCAAACCTATAGTCATCAGTATTTGCTTATGCATGTCTTCATTTGAAACCAAAAATAACATTTCATATTCTTTTATTCTTTCTTGTTTACACTCAGAATAAAAGTCAATGTTAGCATCCGGTAATGTTTTTGTAATTTTTTGAATAAAGTCACATTTGTAAGAGGTCTCCTCTACAAACTGCACCATATAACACACCAAAGGTTGCAGTAAGACACACACATGGGCCCGACTATTTGACTTCAATCTTTCCACTGCTTTGGCATCTAACTTTGCATCTTCAGAATTAGAAGCCTCAGTAAGCAAACTTATTTCTGGATCAGCAGGCCAATATGAAATTCGGTTAACTCCGGCTGAAATACAGAGGAAGGAAGTTATCAGATATATACTGAAATTAAAGGTTTTCTTGACAAATTCACCTTATCATTGCAGTACACCTAGAGGTCCCAATATAATAACATCTACTACCAAGTGACCCATAATGTAGTTGGACAGACTATGATTCATAGGCCAAATTTAGCCTAGTATCTGTTTTTGTACAGTTTTCAGCTTAAGATGGTTTTATAGCTTGAAATATTTGGAAAATTCAAAAGAACATTTGCCAACACATGAAAATGACATGAAATCCAACTTGCAGTGACCATAAATAAAGCTTTATTGGAACAGACTCACCCATTCATTGACATAGTCTCTGGTTGCTTCTGCACTATAATGGAGATTTGAGAACTGAATAGCTCTGAAGACATTATATGAAAGTCTAAAATATTTATTATTTGGTCCTATAGAGAAAGTTTGCCAACCCTCAACAAAGTCCATGGAAGGTATCTATTACCATGAAAAGTATTTTCCATGGCTTTTACTGGCTTTGCTATGTGTGATCCCAAACCACAGACCCCCAAGTAATCAAATGACTGCTTAGAAATATCACAGCTGGGGCCTCCCTGGTGGCGCAAGGGGTTAAGCACCGCACTATGAAGCAATCCGCAGTCTCTGCAGCACGAGTTCGAACCCCGGCCTGCCAGAGAGAAACCCACATGGTGAAGCAAACCTCTCCTGTCTCGCTCGCTGCTCCCCTCAGCAGTGTATTTCAGTTAGTCTGCCTGTTCTGCTCCGCACTCTGTCTCTAGTGAATCCTGTCACCCCCTGCATCTCTGGCCTGTACCCCAACGCTTGTATGCATAAATAAATCAATCTTAAAAAAAATAATTAAATCTAACAATTATTAAAAAAAGAAAAATCACAGCTGATGACTTATAGTGCTAGAGTTTTGCTCTCAAATAAACAATTAATTCATGTATCAAAAATGTACCTGTACTCTGAATTATTCTTCTGGGTAGCTATACTAAGAAAACCTGCAGCCTCTGCAGCGCCAGTTTGATCCCCAGCCGCTGGTGAGGGTCCCACATGGCGCGACAGACCTCTCCTGCCACGTCCGCTGCTCCCCTCAGCAGTGTATTTCGTCACTCTGCCTGTTCTGTTCACCACTCTGGCTCTGGTGAACTCTCTCATCCTCCTGCACTTCTGACTGTACCCAGTGCTTGTATAAATAAATAAATAAATAAATCTTAAAAAAAAATTCTAAATAAAGACAAAAAAATTCACGCATTCATGTATTTAGATTAGCATTGTTTAAAACAGTAAAAATGTAAAATATCAGGCTTCCTTGGTGGCACAAGAGGTTAAGTCTCTGCACTATGAAGCTATCCACAGCCACTGCAGCATGAGTTTGATCCCCGGTCAGGGAGGTAACCCACATGGTGCAGCAGACTTCTCCTGTCTCACTTGCTGCTCCCCTCATCAGTGTATCTCAGTAGATCTGCCTGTTCTGTTCCCCACTCTGTCTCCAGTGAATCCTCTCACTCCCTGCATTTCTGGCCTGCACCCCAGCTCTTGTATGCATAAATAAGTAAAATAAATCTTAAAAAAAATGTAAAATATCCCAAATGGCCAAAATAGGGGAATGGTTTAACACATTAATGCCCTTCTCCTAATAAAATAGTATAATATTTATGTAAAATGTCCACAAAGAATTTAAAATGTGAGGGCAACAGTGGGGAGAGAGGAACAACAGATTAACACAGATTTTAATTTATTAAGAGCACATATAAATGACAAGAAGGCCTTGAGAGTGACCAAAAGATATGAACAATTTACAAAAGAGAAAATGAAATTGAAATAACAAACATGTAACAAAATGTTTTAATTTCTATTTGAGATTGAACAGTAAGGTGCCTTTACAGAGTTGAGTTTGCTTATCAATTAGTATTTTACAACAAAAAGATCCCTTTGCTAGTAACTCTCATACTTTTAGCCAAGAGAGACATTTTTTTATGATTGTCCCCAAAAGTAAATAGACAGATGGCTCACAGGGTATTATGCTTTCAAAATAACAGCTGAACTAAAAAGTCTTATTTGAACAAACACATATTTCTACCTACGCCCCTGACTGTTACTGTGGCTTATGCTGTAAAGCAATTTTGAAGCACTGAAAGCTAGCATCATAGTGTTTCCTCTGGCTGTATTTCACTTTCCCTGTGCTAGAGTTCTAATAATTCATTTCCTAACTAGTACTAGCAATGATGGTCAAACTTTCATTTATATTGATCATCTCCTGATTCAAGGAGAAGGGATGATAACTAATCTTTGAACAAACATTCTTGTACCCATAGTAAATGCTAGGAGAAGTTCTCAAATATTTTGGTTTCAGGACCTCTTTATATTAATGAGGCACCCCAAACAGCTTTTGTTTACATGGATTATATCTATTAATATTTACTGTATCAGAAAATTAAAACAAAATTTAAAAATATCAATAAAGACCCTAATATACATTAATATAAATGTTTAATGAAAAAAACTACATTTTTCAAAACAACAAAAAATAATTGAGAAGAGTTGCACTGTATTAAATTTCTACTAATGTATAGCCTGGCTTAAAAGGAGTCAGCTGGATTCTCAAATCTGCTTCTGCTTTCAGTTTCCTGTGTTGTTTTCATAAGATATGAATAGTTTCCGACCTCACACAGATATGTAGCTGCAAAGGAGTATTTTAGCAGTCATTCCAGATATTGTGGATATGCTTCTTTGACACTACATAAAAATTTTAAAGGGATCATTTCTTAAAGGCTAGTTACCATGAAGAATCTGAAATCACATCAACAAGCTTTTTGTACTGTTATGTTGAAATTCACTAATCCAGCTTGCACTGAAGAATGGCTCTTTACTGAGATATATGTCTTGTAGCGTTTTACCTATATTTTCTTATATATAGTTTATGGTTTCAGGTCTTATATTCATATCTTTTATCCATTTTGAGTTGATTTTTGTACATGGTGTGAGGTAGCAGGATGACTTCACTTATAGGAGGAATACAGGGGAAGCAAATAAGGCATAAGGGAAAAAAATAATAAAAAAACACAATACAACAAAACAAAAACAGACAACCATAAATCAGAAACATTTTGCAGGGGAGGAGGGAAAGGGATCAAATTGAGGGCGCAAAGAGCACAAGGGACTATGGTGATGGTGCATGGGTGAATTGGTGGTGGAAATTCTATGGGGACTACACCTGAGAAAAGAAAGCAAACATTGTTTAAAAAAAAGAAGAAAGAAAAAAGGATGTAAAATATATATATATATATATAAAATTAATTTTAAAAAATGGCTCTTTACTTGTGTGACTCTGCAGTATGATGCATGCATCAGTCATTTGGAAAACAGGGGTCTACTGATTTCACAACAATAAAAAAAAAAATCCCATGTATTAATATTACCATCAAAAGAGATCACCACTAATCTCATCTAAAGAGTCTTTAAGTATTGGGAAACACGTAAATTTATGACTGTGGCTACAAGTTTTCCAAAACTCCAACTTTTACTTGAAGGCTCATATTTTATCATTGGCAACAAATACCTGGAAGTTGCAGCTTTACTTCATCCGTTTTTCATAAAATATCTGCCAAATAGCCAAGTCTCAATAAATATAATTTGCCAATGAATGATTATGACAAACTACTTTTTCATGACCATGAAATAAAGTAGATAAATCAGTTCATAACTCAAGCAACTGAGTGAATAATTTTCTTTAAGACAAACTTTTGTACTTAAGTTTGTAACAAGAGTACTTTTTTTTTTTCGGTGTTTTTTTAAAGATGTATTTATTTACGCATACAAGAACTGGGGTACAGGCCAGAGGTGTGGGGGGTGGGAGGATTCACCAGAGACAGAGTGAGGAACAGAACAGGTGGACTAACTGAAATACACTGCTGAGGGGAGCAGTGGGTGAGTCAGGAGAGGTGTGCTGCGCCAGGTGGGTAGCTCCGTGGCCTAGGATCGAACTTGTGCTGCAGAAGCTGCAGACAGCTTCATAGGTTAAATCTTAACCCCTTGCACCACCAGGGAGGCCCAACAAAGTACTTTGGGTGCACCTCCTATTTTCTCTCACAGAATATTTAAACTATATTCAAGGGTTAGGATTTCATAAAATAATCTTTACTCTTTTATCAAAAACATTCTTATGTTAACTCCCACTCCGCTTTTTTCCCACTCCAAGTGCAAGGCCATGAAGAGTGCGATGACCACCTGGATCCCTAACATGCACCAATAGCTTTACTCCCACCTGTTTGGGTCTATTAGTATAAATGTAGTGTTATGGAAATTGACCTCATGGACCACCAGGAGTCCACAAATCACACTTTGAGAATCACTTTGCTTTAGAAATATTTGCTTTGTAAATGAGATAATAGTAATTTTAACTAATAAAGAGATTTAACAACAGTATTAGGTTAAACTGTGCCCCTTCCCAGGATAGAATATACAAGCTTAATCTAACTAGCAATTTTATCTAACTATGGGTCAAACATCAACATGAAAGCATTTCCATAGTATGTTTCCTGATTTCTCACACTTTATTTCTCTGGCTAGGTTTAGATGTATATTTGAAGACAGCAATCAGTGGTGAGTTATTTGCACTCCTCTATTTGTCTAATTCTTATTTGTCTTTCTAATTCTTGACTCTGAGACTAGTAAGAGTACTTTCAGCAAAGTCAACTCAGTGTAAAACACAAGTATCTTTTATTCATTCTCTCTTGACTGTACAACAGAAAAATCAATAAATGTTTTGGTTCTTCACATTCTTTCCTGTGTATATTAATGCTATCACTAGAATACTATTTCATATCCTGCTTAATGGAACAGTCAAGCTCCCAACCTCTTATCTATCCATGTTCTGATTCAATAAAAAATTAGTAATTTTAATGTTACTCCTGCTCAAAAATCTTAAATGACTTCACATAATCTGTAACAAGAATTACAGGTTAACACAAGTGATAACACGAATATCCAACCTGCCCAGTTAACCGGGAAAAGCAGAAAAATAATAGGCCACTCTCATTATCTCCTCTATTCATAAATGCAAGGGAGAGATTACAGGATCTAATACAAATCCTTGACAACTACCTGCTTGAAATAGTCATTTCAAGTCAGGAGGTTCTAGTTACATGACCACTTTTTCTGGAAGTTCTTCCATTTATAGCTTAAGGACACTGCCCTCCCCAAATTAAAGATTTGGTGTAAGTGAAAACAGTTCATCCTCAAAACAACTTTAGGAACTCTGTTCTATAAAATAAAGCCCAAAGATCATATGACTTTTAAAGTTCTCCCCTGACACCCCAATCGATCATTATAATTCATCTACCACTGTTTTTTTTCCCCCAAGACTGATTCTTCATTTCACATGCAGACTCCCAGAACCCTGCTTCTTACAAAATGATGATCCCACATGTGCTATTCCCCTGACCAGGAATACATTTCTCCTCTTCTACACTGGACCCAACAAGATCCAGCTTAAGTCCTAGCATTTTATAAGTTGCAGGGATTACTATTTCTCCTTTGACCTCATGTACCACTTATAGCCTGTATCACTGAATTGGTAGAGTTAACATGTCACATTGTTATTTTTGGTTTCAAATAACACCTTGCAGAAAAGGACTAGGAACTATATTGGTCTTTCCTCCCCACCACCCACTATGCCCCCTCCAGAATCAACCTGAACCCTGTCCTTCTTGGGTTTTTTTTTTTTTTTTAAATAAATCTGTTGTTTTATTTTTTAAAAGATTTTTATTTATTTATTTATTTATTTATTTATACAAGCACTGGGTACAGTCAGAAGCGCGGGAGGATGAGAGAATTTACCAGAGCCAGAGCGGGGAGCAGAGCAGGCAGAAGGACCGAAGCACACTGCTGAGGGGAGCAGCAGGTGGCAGGAGAGGTCTGTGTGCCATGTGGGACCCTCCTCCGGTAGCTGGGGAGCAGCCGGGGATCGAACCGGCGGTGCAGAGGCTGCAGGCAGCTTCGCAACCCGGCGCTCAACTGCTGCGCCACCGGGAAGGCCCTCCTTCTTGGGTTTTAAGGGGCTTTCATTACATAGGAATGATGGAATGTTATCATCGGCCATTAGAATGTGCACTCAAACACCAGTTTCTCTTCCCCACATTTCAAGGGAGTGGGGCCGAAAGTTGCAACCCTCTAACCACCTGATTGGTCTCCCCAGCAACCATTCCCCATCTTGAGGGGCTCTCTAAAAGTTACCTTAGGTGTGGCTGAAAGGGGCTTGTATTGAGTAACAAAAGACATTTATTGCTCTTGTCACTTAGGAAATTCTGAGTTGTAGCTGTTCCATGCCAGGAAGGGGGTGAAAACCAAATATATATTTTGTACCCTAAATCACAATAGCACAGTGTATACATAAAAAATATTTATTTAAATGGGAGAATGGTCTGCATACTTACCTGGGTGTAAAATAGAATCTTAAGTGCAAGTTGGTTTAGTGTGTGGCCTGGTGTGGCAGAGATGGATAGCCATACATTAATAGTTTGTGTTCCACCTTCCAAAGTGTAGACTAGTCTTTGGGAGATAGCTGTCCAGCAATGACAGTTCCCATAAAGGAAGTGAACAGAAACTTCCATATCAGGTTTCTTAAGAAGTAGGTATGCCTTCTATACTATCAACTAGGGGATGGCAGTAGCAGAATAAAGAAGGGTCTAGACCTATGAATCTACCTCATGGGGAAGAACTGCCTGCCATTCAGCAATACTTGCAATGGACTACTACATGGATGATACATATCTAGCATGTTAAGCCACAGAAATTTGGGGATATATTTGTTTCAACAGTGTTAACAACAAACCAACAAACCAAAATGAAGTCTCTCATGCTAAGACTTGCATCACCAAGCTGAGACTTAATTGTAAGTCAGCACTCCCGGAAAAGGAATCTTAAACCAGTCAGTAGGGGATTGCCTGATTCCCAGCACTAGCTGGGTAACCTACCTGAAAAGTTATGGCCATACCCTAACGGAAAGTAACCTTAAAACAACCAAGCAGATTTTTTGCCTAGTATAATTTCCTCATTCCTCCTCTCTTCTGCCTGTAAGTCTTTGTACAATTCTTTGGAGCTCCTTTCTATCAGCAACATTGGATGCTGCCTGAGTTGAACAGATTTTGTTCAAATAAACAACTAAAAGTTTTAATATTCCTCACTTCATCTTTTAACAACAGCTATCATTAGTCTAATAGCAGAGTGAAGTCATTTAACATGTTAGTGCCAGAGCTGAGACCAAAATCCATGTTTTCTGACTCTTCTTACAGTGTATCAAACTGAAATATATTTATATTTATATTTCTAAATTATCTCTGCAGTATTTAAGTAATTTGTTCCTATTGATTACTCTCAGATAAATGCTATTAACCCCAACAAAGCCTTATCTGCACTTACCATTTACAATCATTTTCAAACAAGCGGAACAAGGTTTTCTGGAAAAATAAAGATCACAGTTTTTCAGCCTCGACCCATGTTTAATAACAGCAATTTTCCCAGCATGTAAATCTTCGCTAGAACAGTGGAGACCAACAATTTTCATGTTCTTCACCACCACAAGCCCAGTTTTCTTCACCTACATTAAGATACAAAGTAATCACTTATCAGTTACATTTAACAATCATATCATGGATAAATCTTGATATATTGAAAAATTAAAGCTTTGTTTATCTTTATCTGAACACATTGAATAAAAGCACATTTCTCATTAAGTCCAAAAATATTTCTGAATGTCTTAAGTATTATTATTAGTTTGTCCTAGTGAAAAGTAAATTCAGTTTAACCTAGTAATGGGCAAGAACCAAGTCAATTTGACTTGTTTCTTAAAGCATCCAGTCTAGGACTATTTAGGTTTAAGCCTCTAAGTGATAGTAAAAAAAAAAGTGGAAAACCCTCTGATTTTACACATGGATAAGTGAAGTTCAGGGAATTTACATGAGCTTCTGAAAGACCTACAGATGCTAAAAGGCAAGACTAAAGCAGAAGCTATTTTCAATTTAAAGTATTTTAAATACTAAAATAAAGATAATTCTCAACTTCTTTCTAAAAACTGGCTCTACCAATTTTTAGCATTATGACAATTTATCTAATATGGTTAAGTTCCACCTCCTACAAATATATAGATTATTTATGACCAAAAAAAGGGTTCCTTTTAAATGTATAAACAAGCTTTAAAAAAGAGAGTCATACCCTCAGGTGTCTGAAAGGAAGAGACAAGTTAAAGCTAGAGGGTGAGCTTGAACTATCTCAGCAGCACCCCACCCATCAGTGGGGACTGGGCTGACCCTGCTTTAAGCCCTGGAGGCTAGCCATTGGCTGAGATGTAAAAGAGTTGTTACTCTGAACTTAAAGAGTCCTAACTTACACAAATATTAATCAAAAAAGTAAAAATCACTTCCATGTAAGGCAAAGATAGTCTATGCTGTTTTTGCAGCAAAAGACTGAAGTAAGGAAATGTAAGCCTGAATCTTGGGTTCAGGGCTAGTTGCTACAATATGAGAGGGAAACTTGGGCTAAGAATAGGGTATTTATTGTACTCAGAAACAACAGAATTGAAATCACATTAAAAATCAAACCAGAGCCAAATTATATTACTGAAAATAAGCAAGCTTCAATTTCAGTTATGAGCATACATGTTAAAAACTATGGAGATTAATACCCATTGTGAAATGCCTAAAGAAAAGATGTTATAGAATTCCCTTTCTGAGTTTACAAGCTACATGGACATTTAAAAGGAATACAAAAACCTGCCTTTACAAAATATATATCCAAAATACAGCTAAGACATGAAAAACCTATCTATATTGGCTTTAAAAATAAGTTTTAAATTAACCTTGAATTTGTGGACCCTTTCCCTTCCCATTCCAAAATGTTTGAAAGTTCCATGTTCCTCAAATACAAATGTTAGCATATGTTAGCATCTACTTCTGAATGTTTCCAGCAAGTTAAAAATAAAAATAAAAACAGGGCCTCCCCAGTGGCGCAGCGGATTGAGTGCAGCGCTGTGAAGCTGTCCACAGGCTCTGCAGCGTGTGTTCGATTCCCGACTGGCCAGGGAGTTACCCACATGGCGCAGCAGACCTCTCCTGTCTCGCCTGCTGCTCCCCTCAGCGGTGTTTTCAGTCCGTCTGCCTGTTCTGCTCCCCGCTCTCTCTGGTGAGTTCTCTCACCCTCCCGCACCTCTGGCCTGTACCCCATTTCTTATATAAATAAATAAATCTTTAAAACAAACAAACAAACAAACACCTGTCACTTTGGAAAAGAACTGATGAGGCTTTCTCAAAAAAATCTCAGAGGGTTAGAGCTCATTTTACTAAACTGAGCCAATTGTGACCAATGAAAATGGCCTGCATCTAGAAAACTTAAATAAGGGACCAGGAAAATGAATATAAGAAAGTGAAAATCAAAATCAACAAAAAACTATGAACCAGAGACACTTTTTGGGGGGTGGGGGGCGGGAGGGGAAGGATTGGGGTCAGAATGGGGCGTTTGCAATTGTATGGGGGAATATAAAATAAAATTTAATATTTAAAAATAAATAAATAAATAAATAAATAATGACTTATACAGGAAAAAAAAAAAAAAAAGAAAATGGCCTGCAATTGAATGTTTTTAACTTTAGATTTTCTATGTATTTAAGTAGACAGAAATAAGGTAGGAAAACCCTGACCACAAAAGACTTTAAAAAATTGTCTCCTAATAAATAAGAAGCATATTCATCAATTTATTTTTTATTAAAACAGTCTTTTAGGCCAAGTTTAGCACTTTCTTGTCCAGAGTTTTTTTTTTTTTTTTTACATTTTGTTTTTAGCTAAGGACAAAGTATCAAGTTTGAGACAGAGATTTTTCCATCCCAAACTTAAATTTAACAAAACAAAGCAAATAAAAGTCTAGATACATCCCATTTTGGTAAGTCCACTTATTGCGACTGAATCTTTTCAGTGAATCACCGTTCTGGATTCTAATTTTGCTTCACTTCACTAGCATCTTGGCAAGTCATCTATGAATCCGAGTTATAGGTTTACATTAAAACTTACATAAAAGCGGGCAATCTGTTTTGTATAAGAACTAGCATATTTACTTAAATGGTGATTCACTATTTCTTTCCCTTAGCTTTTCTTATAATTAAAAACATCTAAATATTCTGAGATAAATTATTTCTATGTCATTGTTGGGCATTTTAGAGACTCACTCTCAGAACGAATCACGAAATCTCCAGGAATGTACATCAGAATCATCAAGGTAACATTTTCAAAATACATAAGCTTAGTCTCCATTCCACACCCAATGAATCAGAATCTCTGGAAAACTCAAAAGATTAAGGTAACAAGGAAATACTATGCAATATTAAAAACAACAAAGTTTATCTTGTCAAGTCTGGGCTTGGAGAGTACCCTATTCTCAAGCTAGTTAAGTATGCATCAATATTTCAAGGATGCTAAAAGACATGATATACTGGGGTCAGAGACACAGAACTTTATTAAGCAGTCAATCATCATGTTTATGATGGTTCCCTTGACCACAAGTCCTATTGGGGTAATACAGATGGGCCCAGATGGCTTCCTAGACAGGAAGTCAGGTACATTGTAGGAGAGGAACACTGAGCCTGGGGATTCTGTTGTTTTATTGCAATAGTAAGCAAACCTGTTCTTTGTCCCAGAGGGAGATATTATCTCAACCGTCAAGGCTGCTTGTTTCAAACACAACTCTGATAAATGGCCAGGGTAAAAAGCAGTTAGGGCTTTGCATTCATGGCAAAAATAGCAATATGTTTTATAGTTTGAGAGAACCACAGAATGCTTCTCATTTATCTGACCTAGATGGGAATGTGCCAAGAGTTAAAATTTGAAAATTAAAAAAAAAAAAGCAAGATATAGAAGCATATTATAGAATAATCCCATCTATAAACACATTAAATAGGAAAGATGTATAGACTTGTAAATGCATAGAAAATTTTTAGAAAAATACACAAGAAACTCCTTTGGAAATACAAATGGGAACATGAGTATCTGAGGGACTCTGGGTTTTATACTTTTCCTTTTTGCTTTGTATTTTGGGTACATATGTCTTTTTAAAAAGATCATAAAAATTCACCTGCTTTTTGTCAGTAAATACTCTGGTCATCTCTTCATTATCTTCTAAGGGTCCGTGTTTTCCCTCTTCCTTTTCCTAATTAAAAGCAGAAGAAAGGGGGAGAAAAAGATTAGTACATAAGACATATTACCATGCTCAGTGAAATAAGTCAGAAGGTAAAAGAAAAATAATGGTTTCACTTATAGGAGGAATATAGGGAAAGCAAACGGTCAAAAAAGAAGATAACTTACAAGCAAACTATACATCTGAGGCATATAGTAGGGGAGGTGCAAGAGGAAGGGTCAATACAAGGGGGGGAAGAGCACAAGGGACTATGGTGACAGTTCATGAGATATTTAGTGGTGGTGGGAGATTTAGGGGGACTATACCTGAGGGGAGAAATCAAGTAGTATACAAAAATGAACAACAAAGAACATAAAAATGTTTAATCAATAAAAAAAGACATTATTAATTCAATATTTACTATTTAAAGGTTGGTTTCCTTAGTTTTAGGCTTAGGTCATTCATTTTTTTCTTAATTAAATTCTGAACTAATTTCCTAAATTGTTCGAGTTCAGGCTACTTACCCTTTATAATCTGACTCCTGCATAGTCTTTTTTTTTTTTAAGAGTTATTTATTTATGCATACAAGAGCTGGGGTACAGGCCAGAGGGGTGGGGTGTGTATGTGAGAGGATTCACCAGAGACAGAATGGGGAACAGAACAGGCAGATCGACCGAAGTACACTGCTGAGGGGAGCAGCGGGCGAGTCAGGAGAGGTCTGCTGCGCCATGTGGGTAGCTCCCTGGCCAGCTGGGGATCGAACTCATGCTGCATAGGTTGTGGACAGCTTCATAGGCTGCGTCTTAACCCCCTGTGCCACCAGGGAGGCCCACTCCTGCATAGTCTTTCAAAATATAGAAGTACTAAAAATTGTAGCTAGAAAATAAAAATCTCTAGTTTAAGATTTCAGGGCTAGGGAAGTTTTGAGTAATGCAGTCCAGAGTGTGGCGATGGCTATGAAGGACTAACGGGAAATAGAGGTAAATTAATTGGAATTTCAAAGATAAGGAACCATGTAGCAAATATATTATATATAGGTTATGGCAGGTAGAATAATGGTCTTCCAAAGACCTCCCTGTCCCAATAACTGGAGCTTGGAGCTAGTTCATGTTACATGGCAAGGAATTAAAGTTGCAGATAAAAATTATATAATTAAGGCTGCTGAACATCTGACCTTGAGATAGAGCAATTATCCTGGATTATTTCAGTGGGCCCAATGTAATCATAAGGGTTCTTATAAGTGAAAGAGGGATAGCACCAGTGCCAGAATGATGCAACTTTGAGAACACTTGGCCAGTCATTGAGGCCTTTGAAGAGGAAGGAGTTCAAGAACTAAGGAATGTGGACAGCTTCTAGAAGTTGCAAAAGGCAATGAAACAGATTCTCCCCTAGAGCCCTAGAAGCACCAGTCCTGCTGACACTTTGATTTTAGCCCAATGACACCCATTTCAAACTTCTGATATCCAGAATCATAGATAAGTGTGTTGGTGTAAGCCATCAACTTTGTGGTAATTTGTTGCAGCAGCAATAGGACACCAATATAGGGGTATCTATAGGTCTTCTGTAAAAACAGTTTTGAGCCAGCTGTCAAATTCCTTGATCAACTCAACAAATACTTACTGAACACCTGCCAAACTTATTCACTTATTAATTCAACAAAAATTTATTGAACCCCTACTATATGCCAGCCATAGACTTAGCTGACCAGAATGTAACATTAAAGCTTATGATTTATGAGCATAGAAAAGTGACTATGAAGTAAGTAGATGATTAAGACAGGGTGATTTAGCAGAATTCTGCCTACTACCAAGTAGACAGACTATGTAATAAATTGGAGAAAGTTTGAAAACGGGAATGGGAAACCTGTTGAATATTGACCTCTTAGTCTTAATGAAACAAGTGCTGGGTGCGAGAAAAGAAGTAACCTCTGAGTTTTCAAGAAAAGCCAAATTTTGTGTGTGAATGAGGTTGCTACTCAAGCAAAACAGGAAATGGAGAAGTGGTGACACTGGTAGTGAAATGGTAGAGGTGTGGATGGTAGTAGTAGTGATGGTAATTATATGTATAATAGCAGTATCTCACATTTGTTAGCTGTTTACCAAGTCCTACCAGGTCCTAAATGATCTCATTTAATTCTCACAACCTTACAAAGTAGCTGTTACTATTTCCATTTATAATGAGGAAATTTTGGCTGAGAGAGATTAAATAACTCACCCATGGTCTCATAGCTAATAAATGGATAAGCCAGGATCTGGGCCTCAAATTCATTGACTTAACCACATTGCTTCTGTACAGAAAAAGGACAGTGAGGTCTTTCATGTGAAATTTAGGGACCAGTTGACAGAGTGAGAAGAGTTGGGACAGAGGAACAATATATTATGTATAGAGAAAAATGAGGAAATAATGTGGTTATTCTAAATTTTATTAAAATAATATTCAGGGGCCTCCCCGGTGGCACAGTGGTTGAACGCTGGGTTGCGAAGCTGCCCGCAGCCTCTGCAGTGCCGGTTCGATCCCCAGCTGCTCCCTGGCCACCGGAGGAGGTCCCACATGGCGCGCAGAACTCTCCTGCTGCCCGCTGCTCCCCTCAGCAGTGTACCTCGGTCCTTCTGCTTGCTCTGCTCCCCGCTCTGGCTCTGGTGAATTCTCTCACCCTCCCGCGCTTCTGATTGTACCCAGTGCTTGTATAAATAAATAATTAAATAAATAAATAAATAAAATATTCAGGTAATTTAGAAAAATGTTACCTAACTAAAATTAAAAACCTGAAGCAGTAGGAGAGTTTTAAAATGACAGTTGTTTTCAATAGTACTTGATTTCTATTCCAAAATTTTCAATTAGTTTCTCTTCTACTCATTTATTTAGTTTGGGATTGAATTCTTTAAAATTCTACTCTCTATAGTCAATGTCTGTTCTGCTGAACAATCCTCAAGGGAGAGCCATACAGGGTAAAGACCACACAATACACAGAATTCCACAAATAACCAAGATTATACAGTTACTAAAAGGTGGAACCAGGAGTTGAAGCCAGGCACGCTATCTAAAAAACACTGGCTACTCTTAAAACCATTAGGGTAAATTGTGCCTGCAATATTATAATAGCAAAGAAACTTAAGTTATTTCCTGCCAAAAAAAGGAGCAGGATTTAGAATTAAAGGATCTCAAATGAGTAAAGGAAATAAGAGAAGAAAGAGTGAGAAACAGCATGAAAATGTCAGTCTCTGGGTGGCAGAATTATAAGGAAATTTTTTTCTTATTATTTTCTAAATAACAATCATGTATATTACTTTGGGAACACAAAAAATTTTAATTTAACTTATTTTTAAAAAGACAAGAGGTTGATAATGTCAAAAACAATGTGTCCAATACAATTACATGTCAAATTATATCTCAGAGCTTCTGTGACTTTTATGGTATAGCAAAAGCAGAATAAACAATTTAAGTGAAATAAACTTATTATCTTATGTTAAAGAACATTTTTCCTCTACTAATAGGATTAAGATCTCACTCAATCCTATGAACATCACACACTATACTGGAATTATTTACTTTAATGTGCTTGTCTATCAAAAAACAATCAGCACAGGGCCTCCCCAGTGGTGCAGCTGTTGAGCGCTGGGTTGCGAAGCTGCCCGCCTCTGCGGCGCCGGTTCGATCCCCGGCTGCTCCCCGGCCACCAGAGGAGGGTCCCGCATGGCGCACAGACCTCTCCTGCCACCCGCTGCTCCCCTCAGCAGTGTACTTCGGTCCTTCTGCCTGCTCTGCTCCCCGCTCTGGCTCTGGTGAATTCTCTCACCCTCCTGCACTTCTGACTGTACCCAGTGCTTGTATAAGTAAATAAATAAGTAAATAAATAAGTAAATAAATAAATCTTAAAAAAAAAAATCAGCACAGACTGCATTCCTGCCATATATGAATTAAAATGAAGTCAAATCTTGATATTAAAAAAAAAAGCTTAAAAATTACTATTCTTTTTCTGAAAAGATAACTGAAACATTTGGTATAAAACATGTAAATTTAAAGTATACAGTATATTATCTGATTTTTTAAAAAAGATTTATTTATTTATTTATACAACAGAACAGGCAGAAGGATTGAAGTACACTGCTGAGGGGAGCAGCGGGTGGCAGGAGAGGTCTGCAAGCCATGTGGGACCCTCGCAGGTGGCTGGGGATTGAACCTGCGCTGCAGAGGCTGTGGGCAGCTTCACAGTCCAGCGCTCAACCGCTGCGCCACCAGGGGAGGCCCTGATATTTATGTTTTGTAATATGACTGCTATTGCAACAATAATGAACACCTTACATCACATAATTATCCTTTCTTTTTAGCAGTTGGAATAATTAAATTGTAGCCTCTTAGCAAGTTTGATGATCATAATACAATATGGTTGTCTATATTCACTATACTGTGCACTAGATCTCTAGGTTTTATTTTCTACTTCTAAGTTTGTACCCTAAAACATTTACCCTGTCTTTATACTCCTTAGCCCCGGTAACCACTGTTTTCATGAGGTTAGCTGGTATAGAATCCATATATAAGTAATATCATCTACTACTTGTCTTACTCTGTGTGATTTATCACACTAAGCATAATGTGTTCAAGGTCCATCCATATTGTCACAAATGACAGAATGCCTTCCTTTTTCACAGTAAAGCCCAGCTTTTAAAATGCACTTTTAAAAGGTCTTAAATCTCTAGACATTTATTTTAAATCTGTCTCTTCTAGACAAATTTTTATCTGTAAAAAACTAATTAAAAAAAAAAAAACAAACAAAAACCCCCAACAGCTTGGAATTTTACTTTGATAAAAAAATGTTAAATTATCAACAAGTAGAAAGAACGAAGGACTTCAAACCATGAAGGAAATAAACAGTTTTCTCAAAGTCATTAATAATATTTGTAGCAAGGCTGGTAGTTGGGAGAGTGGCTGAGAAAAAGGGGAAAAAATTGTAATATTTTAAGTAATATATTATTATCTATTAAACACTTCACATAGGAACTGGAGGAGAAAAATATTCCAAGAGATATCATTTTAACATGAAAAGTGAATTATGTATCTATACACAGACCTTACCTTTCACAAAAATTAACTCAAAATGGACTATAAATGCAAATGTAAAATGTAGAACTATTAAACTCTTAGAAGCTAACAAAGGAGAGGGGCAGAAGAGGGAGGTGGGGGGGTTGGAAGGAAAAGTAGGAGGGGGTCAATTGGACTATGGTGGAGGATTATGAGTGCTTTGGTGGTGGGAGTGGTATAGCAACATATATCTGAACAGTGTCAATCTATGCCCCTAAATCATATACAGTATTGTAAACCAATGTTACCTCAATAAAAAAATAACACAATTAAAAAAAAAAAGAAGATAACATAGGAGAACTCCTAGATGATTTTGGGCAGCAAAGACATTTTAGATAGAAAATTAAAGATATGATACAGAAAAGAAATCAATGATAAGCTAGACTTTGTTAAAATTAAAACCTGCTCTGCAAAAAACAACTTCAAGAATGAGAAGTCACAGATTGTATGGAAATATTTGCAAAAAGACACATCTGATAAAGACTATTATCCAAAATACAAAATAGAACTCTTAAAATTCAATAAACAACCAAATTAAAAATTGGGCCATAGAAATCTCACCAAAGAAGATATATAAACATATGAAAAGATGCACCACATCCTTTATCAGGAAAGTGCAAATTAAAAAAAAAAAAGAGAGATACCACTACATACCTAGGAGAATGGCTAAAATCTAGAACAATGACCGCACAAATGCTGGCAATGATGACCAACAACACAAACCCATTTATTTATTTATTTGTTTTTTTAAAAATGTGGTTTTTTAAAAAGATTTATTTATTTATTTATACAAGCACTGGGTACAGTCAGAAGCGCGGGAGGGCGAGAGAACCCACCAAAGCCAGAACAGGGAACAGAACAGGCAGACCGAAGTACACTGCTGAGGGGAGCAGCGGGCGGCAGGAGAGGTCTGTGCCCCATGTGGGACCCTCACCCAGTGGCCGGGGATCGACCTGGCGCTGCAGAGGCTGCGGGCAGCTCCGCAACCCAGCGCTCAACCACTGCGCCACCGGGGAGGCCCCAAACTCATTTATTTTTAATGTGAATATAAAATAGCACAGTCTTTTTGAAAGACTGGAATTTTTCACAAAACTAAACATACCCTTACCATACACCTTCACAATCATGCTTGTCAGTATTAACGCGAAGGAGGTAAAAATTTATGTCACACAAAACCTGCATATGGATATTTAGAGCTGCTGCATTCATAACTGCTATCACTTAGAGGCATCCAGATTCCTTCACTAGGTGAATGGATAAATAAACAGTAATATATCAGACAATGACATCTTATTCCGGGCTAACAACACATGGGCTATCAAGCCATGAAAAGCCATGAAGGGCCCTTAAATGCATATGTAAAGTTGACATCACTGGCGTCCTTTTATAAAAGGACCAGAGTAGGCTATAGAAAAACAAAAACAAAAACAAAAAAAACACTTGCTCTCCTCTTTCAACTGAAACCAAACCTCTGGCCTGGACCAAACTGATAACTTTCCAAGAAACAAGTATAAGAATATCCACTTCGAGCGGACTGATAAAAGTGACGGCTTGCATACTTTTATCTTCCACCATGCCATTTTGCCTTGTGACTCCTTCACCTCATCATGACTTTATGCTGCTTTTTCTTTTTATAAAAGCTCCCCATGCCCTTACCTTTGTCCATCCTCAGGACATGACCTCTGAATCACAATTCTCTGCTATCCTGGCTCTTCCGTTACTTAAATAAACATATATTACTGCGTCTTAACCCCTTGTGCCACCAGGGAGGATCCTCCCTCCCTCCAACTTCTGACACAAGAAACACAAGTTCTCTCTTTCAAAGTTTTTCTTTGGTGGAGTTTTTTCCAAAGGAGTTCCTCTGGTTGGCAAATAGGTCTTTAATCTTCATGTCGCAGGGCAAAAGCAAACTCTTCTGTGAATCCATCCTTAACTTCTCCATGTAGAGTCTGGTCCTCAGGCATGAGTTTTTTTTTTTCTCAAGAAGTGGGGTAGGGCCTCCCTGGTGGCGCAGGCGGTTGAGCGCTGCACTGTGAAGCTGTCCACAGCCTCTGTAGTGTGGGTTCAATCTGGTGGGTTCAATCCCGGCCAGCCTGTGAGAATCCCACAGGGCAGACCTCTCCGGTCTCACCGTTGCTCCCCTCAGCAGTGTTTTTCTTCAGCCTGCCTGTTCTGTTCCCCGCTCTGTCTCTGGTAAATCCTCTCACCTTCCCACACATTTGGCCTGCACCCCGGTTCTTGTATAAATAAATCTTAAAAATAAATAAAAAGAAGTGGGGTACAGGCCAGAGTCGCAGGGTGTGAGAAGATTCACCAGAGAGAGCGGGAGGCAGAACAGGCAGATGTACTGAAATAAACTGCTGAGAGGAGCAGTGGGCAAGACAGGAGAGGTCTGCTGGGCCATGTGGGTTGCTCCCGGCCAGCCGGGGATCGAACTCGCACTGCAAAGGCCATGGACAGCTTCACAGTGCTGCGCTCAACCCCCAGCACCATCAGGGAGGCCCCAGTCTTTTTTTTTTTTAAAGATTTATTTATTTATGCACACAAGAACTGGGGTACAGGCCAGAGGTGTGGGGAGGTGAGAGGATTCACCAGAGACAGAGTGGGGAACAGAAGAGGCAGATGGACTGAAATATACTGCTGAGGGGAGCAGCAGGCAAGGCATGAGAGGTCTGCTGCGCCATGTGGGTATCTCCCCCTGGCAGGGGATCAAATTTGTGCTGCAGTGGCTGTGGCGAGCTTCATAGGTTGCATCTTTTTTTTTTTCTTTAAAAGATTTATTTATGTATACAAGAACTGGGGTACAGGCCAGAGGTGTGTGTGTGGGGGAGGGTGAGAGGCTTCACTAGAGACAGAGTGGGGAACAGAATAGGTGGATCTACTGAAATACACTGCTGAAGGGAGCAGCGGACGAGTCAGGAGAAGTTTGCTGTGCCATGTGAGTACCTCCCTGATCGGGGATTGAACCTGTGCTGCAGTGACTGCGGACAGTTTCATAGGTTGCATCTTAACCCCTTGCACCACCAGGGAGGCCCAGGCTTCAGTCTTGATAATATCTCTGCTTAAACTTTGTACTTCAGCCTGCCATCTAATTTGGACTTAATTTTTTAAATATCAAGTTTCTCTCTCCATTGAAAACAATGACTAAATCTTTTCTTTTTTATCTCCAGTGAGAAGTGTACAACCTCATTCAGAGTAAAGAAGGTATGGGGGAAAAAAGAAGATAAGATTATGATTAAGATTATGCTTGTAAGAGCACTGTGGGAATTTAAGTAATTACAAAAAGTCCTTCTGTGGAAAATTTAAGGCAACCTGTCTGCAGCATTATTGGCAAGTTGGAAATTTTAATTAACATATGCAGAATATAATTACAATTTTATGAGAGCGGGAAAAAAACCTGTGTTTAAAAAAAAAAAGACAAGTACCAAATGCTAAAAGTGACATTCCTAGAATAGTGACAAGTCATCTTTGCCTTTTTTTTTTTTTTAAAGATTTATTTACATATACCAGACCTGGGGTACAGGCCAGTGGTTTGAGGGGTGAAAGGATTCACCAGACACAGAGTGGGGAGCAGAACAGGCAGGCAGACTGAAACACACTGCTAAGGGGAGCATCGGGTGAGACAGGAGAGGTTTGCTGAGCCATGTGGGTAGCTCCCTGGCCGGCTGGGGATCAAACTTGTGCTGCAGAGGCTACGATTGCCTCATAGTGCAGTGCTTAACCCTTGCACCGCCAGGGAGGCCCCCCCCCCGTTTTCCTGTTTTCAAAAATGTTTTAAATGCTTAAGTTATTTTTCACAATATATTGGTTCCCTAAAAAAAAATGACAACACACTAAACTTCCACATCTACTAAACCAAAATGGTGAAAACCTGGCACCATGCCAATTTAATCATAGAGGAAAGTGAGAACATAGCACCTTGCTCCCCTGAAGTAGAAAGAAAAGAGCACACACTTCCACTATATTGACTCTTATGATTTTCTTACATACATTCCTAACCTATCTTATCATCTCTTTTGAGATCCAAAAAATAAGATATCATCTCTATGTTCATGAAATTTACAGTTCAATGGTGGAGGGAAAAACAAACTAGATGAAGCACTAATAGGATACAACTGAGTGATAATGTGGCATAGTCAATAATCTAATTGGCCATACATATAAATACCATTATATGTTGCTAAACTTGGCAGTCTGAGAGGAAAACTATATTCTTAGACAGGAAAGGGAGCTATTACAACTATGTATTACAACTATGTATTACACATTAAACCATGGAAGTATTTTGAACATTTTAAGGTTTGTTGAGTTTGTGTTTAAGTGTGACAGAAACTGGAGCAACAAAACAAAAATTACACCATTGCTTCTCTAATGGAAAAAAAGATCTGAGAAAACAAATAATACCTGAGATTTCTGTCTTTGGGCTTCTACTGTTGGGAATAGTTCCATCCAGAGACTAAGCAGAGTGAAAAGGTTGACTTTAGAAAGCCTTGGTATTTGACCTACAAAAGAGAAGGCAAACACCATAAAATTATTATGAATTATGAAAATAAGAATTAAGCTCAATGCCACCTGTGCGTTGCAACCTTAGCTCAGGTGCTTTGGCAGGAGGCAGAGAAAAAGGATTAGAGAACAACAGAATCAAAGACTTTCTAGAAGGAAGTTGGTTTCAATCTCCCAGGCAACATTCTCCTGCTCCTTGCAATGCCAAAGTTGCGCCCTCTTGCACCTGGCAGGAAAAAAAAATGGTGCAACTGATGTCTCTTGCTGTGAAAACGACCCAAAGTAAGTTATGAAAAGTCCTTATATTTGATATTACCGTAGAGCACGCATTTCTTCCGACTGTGCTGAGGTGTTGCAACAAGGGTAGCGTTTAGAACACGATACTACAAATGTAGTGAGCTTTGAGAGTAAAACAGTTGAAATATAAGAAAGTGTTGAGTACTGTTAATTTGGAAATCAAGCCTAAAGCACGAGTTGGGTAATTTTCAGGCTCGTCGATCACGGAGATCCCAGTTCTATGTCCTGGAAGAAAAAGCAAAGGGGGACAGTGAGCTCGACTTCAAAAGTATAGGGGCGGCCTGGCGAAGGAGTACCAGCGATCGAAGATGGGAATCACCCAAGCTCGTAAGAGACATCCAGGAGCGGAAACTAGACCTAGAGGGGCGGACAAAGGAATCCGGAGTTAAACCGCGGGAGAGATACCCCGCAGAGCGAAGGCTGCGGGAGCGGAAACAGGTCCCGGGCACTCACCCGTCATGCTTCCAGTCTGGGTGCCGACTGACCGCCCGGCCCCCGCGCTCTCCAGGTTTTGCATTTGCTCTGCTTCTTTCATCCCAACCCTAGCGGCTTCTGGTGCTCAGGAAACCTCTCACTGTCAGGCATGATTTTAGCCCCAGCGACTCCACCCCTGGCCTCCACCCAGCAACCGCCAATTCCGCGCAGTCAGATGACGTAAAGTTGGCCCGCCACTTCCGGCGCTCATGTGACGTCTAGCCGGGCGTCCACGCGCCTGCTTAAGGCTGTGAGACATATCCTTTGAGTCCAGGGTTTGGTATTTCTTACTGGTTTTGTCGAGGGGAGGTCCCTCGAAGATGTCTTGGCTGGAAGTCTCAGGGTGCACAAACTCTGATAGGGTGACGACTGTGCAGACTTGAGCTTTGGTCAGAGAGCAGAGAATAGAAGCGGAAACCAGCCCCGTCTGTCACGGTCAAAGTCTTACAGAATGGAGGTGGAGGTGCGCGGCCAAGTGGGCGGGAGCCCCACGGCCCAGGTTGTTCTTAAAGATTGAACGGTCCTGGGGAACTAATGCCAGGAGACCACCGTAGCGGTGCTCTGCTTATCAAATACATGAGGACATTAAGACATAAACTGTGATTATGAGAAAGGTAGGAGAATGTAGCAAGTCGTCCTGGAAGAAATGATATGTATGCTGTGCACTGGCTTAGCAAATCCAAAATAATAACAACTAATAAGATCAGGGAGCTTGCTTGTGTAGGATAAAAGGGGGAGAGGGGAGAGACTGTTCAAAAAAAAAAAAAGTTCATTGGAGGAGAGCTAGAGTCCAGATGGTGCTAGTTAGCTGGGCTGTGGTGCTTCTCGCTGGTGGCGCTGTTGCAGGGCAGAATAAAATAACCTTGGAGCAGATGATTTCCTTGTTTGGGAGTTTAAGGGTAGTCTACTTCCTGTTGGGACAAGCAGTGAATAATGGGGAGTGATAATGTATGCGAGCTCCCTCTACAGGTCTTCCTGACCCCGATTTTATTTAAGGTTTCCTTATTTAATTTTCACATGCTTGACTCAAAATGAAACTCTCCCAGTCACTCAGAGCTAATACCAGTCCTTTCGGTTATCACAACTTGAAATAATGACAAATAACAAAATACAAGAACTGCTTTTTCAAAGCAAAAACTGAACGTTAAAATATCTCATTTTGTAACATAAATCAAGTCTAAAGCACGTGTTGAATATGTCTTTTATCATTACTTTTCACTACTGTATAGTGCTTCATTGTGGCTATATAGCCTAATAATGCATGTTTAAGTGGAAGGATATTTGGGACCCTCTCCAGAATTTTGCTATTGCAAACAATGGAATGGTACTATAAACATTTTGGTATATATCTCCTTGTTGCTCATACAAAAAATTAAGGGGGCCTCCCCAGTGGTGCAGCGGGTTGAGCATAGTGCCATGAAGCTGTCTGCAGTCTCTGCAGCACGGGTTCGAGTCCCAGCTGGCCAGGGAGCTACCCACATGGCACAGCAGACCTCTCCTGACTTGCCTGCAACTCCCCTCAGCAGTGTATTTCAGTCAGTCTACCTGTTCTGCTCCCTACTCTGTCTCTGGTGAATCCTCTCACCCTCCCATGCCTCTGACCTGTACCTCAGCTCCTGTATAAATAAATAAATCTCTAAAATATATATATATATATATAAAAATTAAGGGACTCTTCTTAGGAATTGAAATGTTGGTTTGTTACTGACAAGTTTACCAGATAATGCTAAAGAGTTTTCCAAAGAGATTGGACCAATTTGTATAGTTCTGGATCCCTACTAATCTTTCTGTTGTCAAGCTTTTAATGTTTATCAGTTTTGTTGGCATAAAATGGTATCGTATGTCTTTTACTTTCCGTGATTTCTCCTAGGTTGAGTATCTTCTTTCATGTTGATTAGCCATACATTTTCCCTCTCTGAATAAATACCCGTTAACCATTTTTCTATTTGGTTGTTCTCATTTCTTATTTAGTTGTAAGCATTCTTCATATATTCTGGATGCTTATTTTTGGTTGGGTGTGTTTATGGTAAATATTTTCTCCCAGTTTGCCACTTTCTTTTTTACTTATATCTTTCAGAGCACAGCTCTTTGTGTGGCAAACATACCAATAATTTTCTTTAATGAATTTTGGTTTTGTATTTTTTAAAATGTCTATTCTATCCCACATTATAAAGATAATCATTTATATTTCCTCTAAAAGTCATAAGTTGTTTTTTTTTTTTCACTTTACAGCTTTCTATAGCATACAGTTCATTTTTTTTGCATTGTGTGAGGTAGGGACCCAATTTTACTTTTAATTTGGATAATCAGTGATCATAACACTATTTCCTCATTGAGCTGTAAGATCACTTCTGTCATACACCAGATTTCCAAATACATGTGAGTTTGTTTCTGGTATATCATTGGTTTATTACTACCACCACTACCCCAAAAAACCTTTATTCAGGAATATCTTGGCTATTTTTGATCCATTAATCTTTATGTAAGTTAGAATAATATTGTCAAATTCCTCAAAAAAGTCCACTGGAATATTGATTGTAAGGGCATTGAATTTATAGATCTATTTGAGATATATGTAAGCTTTCTGTCCCTGAACTTGGTATATTTGTATGAACATGGTATGTTTACTTTTTAAAAGATTTTGTAATTTTTCTTCACAAAGATTTTGCACAGTAGTATGATTTGATCTTTTTTTGGTTTCTATTGTAAATGATTTTTTTCACATTTGTAAATGTGGGTAGTATATAGAAATGTAGATGCTTTTTAATATATTTGTCTTTTATTGAGAAATCTTGCTAAACTTTTATGTATTCTAATACTATTTTTATTTAAAATAAATACTATTTTAAGTTTATTTTTATCTATTTTTATTATATTTATTTACTGTTTATTTCTTTTGTATTATAGATTGAAATGCTATCATCTGTAATAATGCGTTTTATATCTCTCTGACCCTCAAACCTTTTTTTTTTTTTAATATTAAATTTTATTTTTATATTCCCCCATACAATTGCAAACGCCCCATTCTGACCCCAATCCTTCCCCTCCCGCCCCCCACCCCCCAAAAAGTGTCTCTGGTTCATAGTTTTTTGTTGATTTTGATTTTCACTTTCTTATATTCATTTTCCTGGTCCCTTATTTAAGTTTTCTAGATTCCTGCTATGAGTGAGACCATCCGGTATTTTTCTTTTTCTTTTTGGCTTATTTCGCTGAGCATGATCCCTTCCAGCGCCATCCATGTTGCTACAAATTGCATGTGTTTATCTTTTTTGAATGCTGAGTAATATTCCATGGTATATATGTACCACATCTTCTTGATCCAGTCATCTATTTTTGGGCATTTGGGTTGTTTCCAAAGCTTAGCTATTGTAAACAGTGCTGCTATAAACATAGGGGTGCAGGTGCTCTTTGGAATTGATGTTTCTGTGTCCTTTGGGTAAATACCTAGGAGTGGAATTGCTGGATCATATGGAAGCTCTATGTTTAGTAGGTCCAGAAATCTCCACACAGCTCTCCATAGTGGTTGGACCAGTTTGCACTCCCACCAACAGTGCAGAAGAGTTCCTTTTTCTCCACACCCTCGCCAACATTTGTTGTTGCTAGTTTTTTTAATATGTGCCATTCTCACTGGTGTGAGATGGTATCTCATGGTAGTTTTGATTTGCATTTCCCTGATGACAAGTGATGTTGAACATTTTTTCATATGCCTGTTGGCCATTTGCATTTCCTCTTCAGAGTGACCCTCAAACCTTTTATATCATTTTCAAGTCTTACTGTACTCCAGAATGGCCAGGGAAATACTGAATAGAGCTAGTGGTAACTGGTATCTTTTCCTGTTCTGGATTTTGAAGGAAGCCATTTGAATGCTAAATGTTGAAGTATTTTTTTTTTTTTTTGTTAAAGTATGTTTTTGGTGATTTTTTTTTGCCTGAGGCTTTTGATAGCTGTGTAAGTTACCTTTTATTTCTATTGGTTTTTTTTTTAAAGATTTATTAATTTATTTATACAAGAACGGGGGTACAGGCCAGATGCGCAGGAGGGTGAGAGGATTCACCAGAGCCAGAGCGGGGAACAGAACAGGCAGACTGATGAAATACACTGCTGAGGGAAGCAGCAGGCAGCAGGAGACGTCTGCGAGCCATGTGGGACCCTAGCCAGCTGGCCATGATCGAACCAGCGCTGCAGAGGCTGCGGACAGCTTCACAACACAGCGCTCAACCGCCTGCGCCACCAGGGGAGGCCCTATTTCTAGGGGTTTTAAAATCAGATATTGAACTTTATTAAGTGCTCGTGGTAGATTTTTATTTATTTATACAAGCACTGAGTACAGTCAGAAGCGCGGGAGGGAGAGAGAATTCACCAGAGCCAGAGCAGGGAGCAGGGCAGGCAGAAGGACCGAAGCACACTGCTGAGGGGAGCAGCGGGTGGCAGGAGAGGTCTGCGCGCCATGCGGGACCCTCCTCTGGTGGCCGGGGAGCAGCCGGGGATCGAACCAAAGCTGCAGAGGCTGCGGGCAGCTTCGCAACCCAGCGCTCAACCGCTGTGCCACCGGGGAGGCCCAACGTGGTGAATTTTATTAACAGATTTCTAATGTTAAACCAACCTTGTGTTCCCTTGATAGACCCATCTTTGCCATGTATTATTACATTTGTTAATATTTTAAGATTTTCAAATCTGTGTTAATGTATGTATTATTAGTGTATAATTTATCATAATCTTATTTTTACATTTTAAAATTTTATTGAAGTAATATTGGTTTATAAATTATATAAAGATGTAGAACATTATAATTTGACATCTGTTTATGTTTCATTGTGATTTCCACCAACATTCTAATTTCCAGAAACCACCACACAGTTGACCCCTTTTACCTGATTTGCACACTCCCCAGCCAACTTTCCTTTTGGTGAACACCATTGTGTTCTCATTATCTAATTGTTTGTTTTATTGGTTTCCTTATAAGTTTCAGGTGCACAGCACTATATTTCACTATCTGAATATACTACATTATGTTCACCACTGATAGTTGAATTTCTATCCAACACCATACAGTTGGCCCCCTTTGCTTGTTTACCCACCTCTCACCCCCCTTCTCCTCTTGTAACCATCATTCCGTTTTTAGAATCTAAGGGTTTGTTTTGGTTTTGGTTGTTCATTTGCTTTATCTC